TCATTGTCATTCATTCTTCAACACTTCAGTTGTCCTGAACGCATCTCGTCCTCCTCTATTCTTAATGCCACTGGGAATCCATATTCGACAAATCCCAGAATACATCCGCTGCTCGGCACGAACAGGACAGAGTTAGCGATTGCGTGCGTCCCGCTGATTTGTACGGTGCTGTCGGTACATGAGGGCTGAACAGATTGTCATTAGCATAATGATCATGCTGGATAATGTTCTCTGGGTTCTCAGGTAACCCAGTGCACAGAGATGTGAACACGAGCCACAGTGTGTGTTTAGAATCGCTGCTGAGTTGCTCCAGCATCATTTACTTTAGTAAAAAGTGGAAAATATAGGTGCCAGGTATTGACGATGAGGACGAATACATTGAACAACAAATACAATCCCTTTGATTCTGCTTCTCCTTTTCCTAAAACTTTGCATCAAGGGTTCAATAATCTCAGAGTGTTAGGAGTGCAGTGCCAGAAGCATCAAAAGTAAAATAACTAACTGTGCAGAATTGGCTCTCTGTCAGTCCTGTTTGTTTCCTATATAAAACTTGCACTTGAAAAGTAAATGGAAACTCTACCGCAAAGCCGGACATAAGTAAAGTGCTTCAGTAGAGGCGCTTTCAACCGCTGTCAGGCCCGCTTTCATCATCCACAAATTGATCGGGATCTATTTTACACACCATTGCTCCTTTGCGCTATATTAGGAGTGTGTTTAACTCGTCAATACGTCCGCATCAGTTCTCTGAGAGCTAATTCCATGCATCGGTTTTTAGCTAATCGAGTCATTCTGATTCCGCTTATGGCTTTCATAGAACGGGGAGGGAGAGAGTGTTGGGGGGGAAAAAAAACACACAAAAAAAACATCACATCCCTTCCATACAATGGGACGCTTTGAGCAACGTGGACCCAGCAGCCAGTCACAAGGACAGCGGGTACAGTAGCTGAATAGCATGAAAGTGGACAGTGCACGTGTCGGCAGCCAAACATGAGATCATGAGTTGGAACAACAGCGAGGTTAGAAGCTACAGATTAGCGAAAGAGGCGGGGAGTCGCGCTTGATATCCCAGCAGGAAGGCCCGCAGTCAGCAAAGGCCCGGGTTTCTTTGAAAACCAGCAGCGCTTCTTTCATAAAATGCTGATCAGATTTACACATTTGTGAGTTTCTGTGTTTGTCTCCGTCTCTGGGGAAGTGATTTCAGCCTCACAGTGTCTGTTTTATTTGTGTGTGTGTGTGTGTTTGTGTGTGTTACCCTCTTTATTCTAACTGCCTCAGGCTGGATCAGTCTCCATGTCACCAGGACCAGATGGGCACTCTGAAAAGCTTCTTTACACCAAGAGAGAGAGAAAAAAGAAAAGTATTTTGTAAATCAAACACATTCTGCACTAAGGTCTACATGCAACCCATGCATAGGGCTTTAAAAACATGGAAGGGCAAATGGGATGTGGGTTGATGTTGATGTGTGTGTGTGTGTAGGAAGGTCAGAGGAGGAAACAATAGCTCTGTCTGTTTGTGTAGACGGCGAGAGCTCGGAGAGGATGCGTTCAAGCGTAGACGACACACAACACCATAATTGTGCATGGTGAGAGTTAGATGAAGGAGAAACTAAACTGTTGTGCTCGCTTCCATTTGTGCATATATCACGTAGCAGGACTCCTGCGCAGATCGCATGCCAACTGTCCCCATGAGTGGACGCATGTCACTGCACATGCTAAACCTTTCTTGTAGCGCACACACACAAATATAAGTGGATCACCATGTTGGCATGCTGCAGTTTCTTCCCAGCACACAGCAACAATACAGTGAACCTGATGTTATGCAGCAACAGCCAAGCTTGGAAAATTGGGCTTGTTTTGCTTTGTCAGAGACCTTCACAGCGTCCTTCCATTAACCAGTATGTGTGAGAGAGAGAGAGAGAGGAAAAAGCTCTTCAGTCCTGCATGACTCACACCTTCTACAATGTGGGTTGACCACAATGACACAGCTGAAAAGCCCTCTGTAGTGCTGAAACCTCTCTGAAGCATCTATTCTTTTATTGTGTCGTGGCTGAAAGGGTGACACTTAACAAGATGCTTTCACGGCATAATGCATTTCATTAACCCGGTGTTCTATTAATCTAATGATCTCTTTATTAAAAGTCCACATTCCTCTCTGGAGGTTTTTTTTTTTTTTTGCAGCCCAAGTGGCTTTTTGAAAAGTTAAAATGCAATTTGCAATTTGGGGCTTTAAAAGTGGCTTTATGGATTAGTCTAAATCTGCAGCTGCAGTCATATAAACTCAGCAAAGAAAATCAGCTGCAGAGATTCATACATATCAGTAAAATTCAACTTTTTGTTGGCGAGCGAGTCCTCCGCCCGTCCACAGCCAGCTTCCACGTCGCTTTTATCCCCATGTGGCTTTGATGTGAAACATCTCAGACTGGATGGTGAGCATGAACCTGCTGGGTTCATCTTTACTGTCTGCTGCTTGCTGAACATGTGCCTAGTGCATGTTTTTTTTAAGCTCACCTCCGTCTTACTGCTGAGATCGAGGTAAATATGTGACAGACGAGGCAGATGCGTCACTGCCGGAGGCTTCCCCGTGTGTCGGATGAGTTTTAGACGGATTGTCCTTTGATTGTTGCAGCAAATTCTTCTTTAACTGGGAAAATCAGCTCCGTCATTTGCTTATATTAGTGGAACTAGTTTTCATATCAAAATGATTGCGCTTCAGATTGTTTTGTTTTTTTAAGAAACCGTCTTACAAATGTGATGGGTCCCATTGGCTCCTTAATGGCTCTTTTGATGGGGAGCGTTGCAATGCATGAATGTGGTCCTTGTTTCTTCCCCATGCAGTGCTCAGATAGTTATTATGCTCCTCTCCTTTCCTCTCCTCTCCTGCAGGCGATATTTCTGCTTTGCTTGTTTTGTTGTGTGTGTGTCAGCATCATATGCTTCATGATATATAGGCTACTGAATGTTTCTCCCAGCCGTCAGGCTTGGTCACACGGGATAAAATCGATTCGTCTTTGCATTGTGTTGGAGTTTGAGCTGGTGTTTTTCAATCAATTCGCTGTGCTGGTGAGGGTGAGGCTGGCTAGATGACTGTGTGTGTACATGTGTGATTTATTTCATCTACATGAGCCTCTATATTTATTATATAATACAGGTTATTATTAGCTTGTTTTCAGCTACATTGTCTGTGTGTGTTTTCTGCAGGCCGCCCCTTTAAAAGAGCTGCCATCTATAAAGCAGACAAGGGAGATCCATGGGGATCGACTGGAGCTCCACATTTCAGCTCCCCTTTGTGGAGAAGCTTTTCAGCCTTTTAGCTCATTTGCTCCACAGACCAATTGCAGCTTCTCTTTGGTTGCCTCTCTGGTGGTTTGCTGCTGCACAAAGACAGCAGAGACATCCATTTATATCTGTACACAATGTGTTTGTTTGTCTTAAGAGAGTCTTCAGCTCTGAGATGGTTGGATTTTTTCTGGCACATAAAAAAATATCTGAAAAAATCTTCCCACTGCCTCTTTGTAGCCAGAAATCTACATTTAAATGTGTAGTTTTAAGGATGAAAATGATGCAGGAAAGCAAAGCAGAAGGTCCAGATGCACTGTTTAAAAAAAGCAAGCTGATTGTTGCATTGAAGCCACAAATTACTGTTCTTTGTGTGCCCCTAATCAGTGTAAGTATCAAACTGGAAACGCACACATAGGGTCGTTTTTCAATCATTTACAAAAACCTCTAATCAATACGGGTTTGCTCACAGCGCCTTCAGCCCAAACAGTGCAGCTGCATCGGTTTCGACTGTGAAATCATACCTGGGTTTGCATGAAAACAATTAAAGGTTCCTCCGTTACAGGCCTGCGGTGTCAGCTGCTCCTCAGTTGCGTGACACCTGAGCTGATTTAAATTAGGTCTGGCCGGCTTTGATAAATTTGCGCCGCTTCTGATTTCACACCGAGGTGCGACCACACACAGGCTGATATGAATGAATAACAGTACATCAGGTTATTAGCAGTAGCAGCTCAGTGTGATTGTAACGCTGCTGACAGGTTGCTTTTGTCACTCCTCCTCACTGAAGTTCGGAGTATCTCTGTACAAATCACAGAGCTTTAGATCACAACAGTCACATCAGAAGGGAAGGCAGTGTTTTCATCGTCTACGTTTAATTACTTTTCCAATGTTCGGTTCTCTTTTTTTTTTTAAATCTTTTATTGTTGCTCTTTTTATTTTTGTAAAGCACCTTGTAACACCAGTGGTCTATGAGGTCTATAAGGTTCTATACATAGTACTATTCTCGGTACTTTAGTATGAGTAGTAAACACTCTCTGATGGCAGAGTTTGTCTGCAGTGACGGACCATGATGCATTGAGGGTGACGTCATCACAGTGACTAAGGGTCACTCCTTCACAGCAGTCCTTTGGGAAAGGGCGGATGGAACGTTATTAACGTTTTAATGTGAATTTTCAGCCCCTTTATGTCATCTTACGCCTTTTTTCCATCTAATTTTCACAGTACGCAAACTTAAAATGTGAATAACAGGAACATTTGGTCTTAGAGGGCAATGAAGTCTCTTGTTTTTTCTGCTTTGGGTTCACTCATCGTGCATGTTCAGCTTCCTTACTTCCTTATCCGAGGGTAGAGTTAATATTAAAACAGTTCCCTTGCCACTTATTGCAGTTCAGCAGCATCAGAAACTAAACCAACAAGCTAAATCCACACCTCTGTCATACATTTGAAGCAAGGATTTAATGCTGTGCTGCTGGATTCATTGTTTTTTAACTGTTGTTTGTCTGTTGTCTGGTGAATATAGACAAAAATATTAACAACACAGCATCAGCTTCATATCAGAAGGTTGTAATGAACTGAATTGTTAATCAAATACTAAAAAGTTAATTATCCCTTTATCTTATTGGATCAATAGGCTTTTCTTCAGTCAGGCTCGAGACAAGATTAAAACATGCCATGCAAAATGAATAGTACAGCTGAGTAATGTTTTATTGTTTGCATCCGTGACAGGTTTGAAGTCCTGTGATCACATCGGCACCAGGGCCAGCCAGGCGGCCAGTCAGCCGACAGCCAGGCCCACCGACACCAACAGGGAGACCCTCCTACCGCGCCCCAACCGCTGCACCCGTCCCTCTCCACCCTCAACATGTCCATCCCCAGCGGCAGCCCAGAAAGAGAGGGCTCTGGTGGGACCCCCCCTCAGCTCGAGTGCCCTTCTTCCCCTCCCAGCATGGACGCAGACCCCTCGTCCACGGGCAGCCCGGTTCTCAGCCCGGATTCTTCTTCCCACGATGCAGTGCTGTCGGCACCGGCAGCCTCCCCAGCGGACTCTGAGAACCTGAGTCCTGATGAGCTGGAGCTGCTGGCCAAACTGGAGGAGCAGAACAGGTGAGATCAGCAGCCATCATTGTTGTGTGAATCCTTAGAACCCCAAAACCCGCAGATGGGTTTAAAAGGCTTTGAAGAAATCACCAAAAATCCACAATATATCGGTGTTATAAACCATAAAAATAAAGAGAATCATTCAATTATCCAATGGTACTTAAACTAGTCGTGTGAGTCCATGTGATCCAAGTCTTAAATGTTCATATTTTATCAACTTTATTTTATTCTACAGTTCTCATGTTAAAAAAATGAACTGACCAGATTCTATAAAAACAAAACATTATGCGGTTCTTGGCGCAACCGAAGAGTCACGACTGACTCCACTATGAACAGCATTCAGAGACGACTCAGCTGAACTGCAGGCAGTGTTTGCAGAGAGCATATAGGAGCCAGTAAACAAATAAGATGTGTGAGTAGAATATCTATACTATAGAGTCACCATTTTTCCCCGTTGCTGGCAGCATCTGTGGGTACTTGAAACATGTTGTACATGTTAATCCCAGTTTGGTCAGTGTTGGAAAATTAATAATGAAAGAAATTCAACTTTTATTTTTTCATTTTTCATCATTTACGGCAAATATACTGCACAGAAGACATCTGTGAGCTTATTCTACGTCTAGCCATGGTTTTGCTGTTTCCATATGTGTGTGTGCAGGACTTCATATTGCAGTGAACAATGAGCCCACGGTAAGTAAAAATGTGACAGGAGCAAAAAAAACAAAGCAGAAACTGCTTGTGTTTCTGAGGGTTAAGCCATTGCAGTGAAAACAAAGCAGCTGTTACTGCTTAATTATGACTAAATGAGGCCCAGACCTAAGCTGTACAGTGGCAAATATGATTTGATTTGATCAAAGCCTGCAAATGCAGTCGCGGTGCCAGATCGCCTACTCACAACTTTGCAGTCATTTCTGAAACAATGTTTTCACACACAAGTAAACAAAATGAAGCTTCCCAGCTCTCTGATGCCTGATGACCACGGAGCTCGTCAGCGAGGACGACAGCTGTCTCCAGCAGATTTTATCAGCTAGCTTGGATTTATGTGAGCACTAAAACTGATTTGGCTGGTCTGTTTTTGTTTAAATAATAAGACTTGAAATGCATCTTATATAAGCAGTATATGGCTACATGCATGATGAATTATAATTCTAAAAAGGAAAACACCCCGAGGAGAAAGTCAGCATCCTCATTAACTTGCTGCTAGTGGAACATGGAAGGAGCAACAGTTTGTGTATGGCAGAGTATGACTAAACTTCAGTGTAGTATTTAAACAGAAATGTAATTAACATGTTGTCCATTGTGAAATAAGGCTTGAATGGTTTTGGAGGAGTTTAATGCTGTAGATGAGAAGCTGTTAAAAATCTTAAGGAAGCTCATTTGAAGATAATAATGTACAGATGTTGGCCAGAGAGGATAGATGGTTTGAGAGAGGGGTGAAAGAAGCCATCTATGTCAAACTGGAAAGACCAGATGTGGAGGTCTGATGCATCACCTCTCACCAGTTCAGTCTTAAGAACTCTTCCCAGCAAGACAAAACTGCATTCACACCTCGCCACAAAAGACCCTGACGAACCCCACTGTGTCAGGGGGAGCACTAACGACTCACACATCGAGGGGGAGGAGTAACTACCCCCACCTGAAACCTGAAACTCAGGTGTTAATGGCTCCTTCAGGATTTAATTATCTGGATCTCCCAACTAGTCAGTCAGAACTGGTGAATCCTCTTGGATGAGAGGTGGAACGTCTTCAAGGAAGTCAAGCAAGTCCAGTTGCTACCATTAATCTACGAGAGCAACCATGACCTGGATGATTGAGAATCTACGCAGACATGTTCAAATTGGGTACGTGAACATTTGGAGCTTACCTTAGATTATCTTTTCTAAACTGTGATTTGATCATTTGGTCATTTAATACTGAAGGAGGAGGTGCATGTAAAGCCTGGATGTATTACAACTATATACTAGCCTCAAAGGTAGCACCGGCTTACTTCATTTTCGAGCTTCAAGGCTTCCTTCCACATTGTGCGGCCCACTGGCTGCACATACTGTATATATTCATGTTTCTCTGCTGGCTTTGCTCAATGCTTTGACTCAACATTTTAAAAAATTTAAAGCAAGTCAAACTCACTTCTCTATAAATCTGCATGAATTAAAACCTCGATAAAAGAGTGAAACCCAACTTGTCTGCAGTTGGAGACGTCTTGTCAACAGCTTTACAGACATCCCTTTTATAACGGTGGTCTATGAGGAAAGAGCTTTTTGTTCCACAGGGGACTTTTTTTTTTGTCATGTCGTGAGAAACCACTGGGAGATATTAGCTGCAAGCTTGAGTGGAGGCGCCGCATCCAGCTCTCTTCATACATCCGAGATGTAAAGCGGGCTTCAGAAAAGTCATTACTGACTCATCTCAGCACAGTTTTACACTGTATGATGGGATGAATACATGAATACATAATAAAGAATCGTTTGAAAACTGTGGGCAGCTGATATTTGAAGAAAAAATCTTGATCGACGCGATATTTCTAGCTTTCATTTAGTTGCATTAAAGTTTGTGGTAGATCGTATAAGGCCAAGAATTGTGACTTGCATAGTGACCCCTGATATTAGCGACCTTGATGAAAACATGAAGAACTTTATTCGTAGTTTTCATTATTAAGAATGAAATGCTTACGGAAAGAAATGAGTAATGTAATACTGACTCCTTGGGGTTGTTGGTAATCATGTGTAGGGTAATGTTTCAGTAAGAAAGAAACAGTTGAGGTTCATACATTCCTTTGTAGGGATAGTCACTATCTTTTTACAGCTTTTTTAATCTGCAGTTTCAATGAGTACGAGGCGTTGTGCCAGAACAGGAGGACGAGGAGTAGATTATTAGTTAAACACATGTTGAGAAGGTTGAGCTTTAATCTTGAGAAAAGCAGTTTTCTGACAGGAACAGCTCAATAAGTATTTGTTGTACAGTTGAATACAAAAGCTAGGACACTCTGGGCCCGTTACATTTTGTTTAATTTCGACTTGAATTTTAACTTTTTTCTGTTTTTTGAAGTCATGAAATAAAAAATAGTACTGGATTGACATTTGAAGAAAAACTCAGTTTTTAACCTCCTGAACCCGAAGCAGGTTCTGGGTGGTTTTTTGTTCACATTTTTACTAACTGTCGTCTAATTTTTCACTGCAATAAAAAGTCCTGCGTCTCTACGGAAACAACGCAACCATGACTAGAAGTAGAGAGGACTCAAAAATGTCTTTTGTGCAGTATGACACGGTTATAGTACCTTAAATCCTCAAAAAAAAGAAATGAGAGTTGAATTTCTTTCCTGATTATTTATTTTACAAAATAATAAATAAAATGGAATAAGTAGGTTCACAGATGTGCCCACAGATGTTGCCAGAGCACAAAAAAGAAAAAAGCTGACTAAGCAAACTACAGATTTTGTACTACTTACATTTAAAAATTTCCATAATTTTTTTCCTTTCTGTTCTGGGAAAACACAGCCTGCAGTTCAGGAGAAAAGTCTGAGAATTTATCTATTGGTTACTGTACAGTCACTAATGGCTTCTTGGTTGCACTGAATGGTTCACTTTTAGCCTAATTGTAAAGACATTTAGAATTAAGTGATTAATGAAATACCATGAATTTAAGCTTAGATTTCGTTATGAGTAATTCAAGGACCATTGGAAAGTTAAAAAAAAAAAAATCTCTCAGTTTTTACAGGTCTGACTCGGATAAATGGTGTATTTCTTTCCTAATTTCTTAAACATAAATTGCCTTTTAAAACCCACTGCAGGGTTTTGGGGTTTAGAGGATCAGTGTCTATTTACTGCAGGGATTGTATTTACATCTTTTCACTATGCAAACGGCATCGTTTTTTAAAGTGGGTGCTTCAATGTTTGCATACAACTGTGTATATTCCCTATGTCTTACATCATATCATATGTCACAGCAAACAAGTAGTCTAGATGTGCTTCTTGTGTCTTTCACTACTGCAGTAGTTTTCACTTTCTCTCAGAGTGAGATCTGAAACACTAAAATTCACATTTCAGTTTCGCTGCCAGCTGTCATGGCAGAATCAGAATCAGAAAAACTTTATTTGTCCCCGAGGGGCAATTAAGTAATTAGGTATGACATGATGGAAAGGAGATTTAAGTATTCAATCAAATGTTTAACTTTTAGTCTTCTAATTAAGTCTTCAGCATGTCAAAGTACAACATATTACAACATATATGCTGGAAACTACTTTTTGTTCTTTCAGGAGGTTAAAAAAAATGCTAAATACATCACCTGGCTGTACCACCATGTATAGAAAAATATTACTTTTCTGTTCGAGGATGAGGTTTAATCCCTGTGTTAGATAAGGTTTAATCCCACACAACGGACAGCACCAGATTCTGCATGTGAATTTGTAAATACAAATCTGTTACACACTTCTCCTTACGTAACCCGCCAATGCAGAAAATGCATTCTGTTTTAAAAAGACTTTATTGACCCCGACGCAGGCTATAAACTCCAGAAATCTCTTTCGAAGCAAGACAGAGTTGCACCGTTTGATTTTAAATTTCACAGCCAGTTTCAGCAGATGGGTCAGAGTGCAGGGCGGAAGAGTCAAGTGACCTAAAAGAATCCGACGTTAGGGGTCAAACAGGACTGAACACAACACCCTCGGGCTAAAGAGCAGCCTCTTTAATCACATCATCTCTGCTTTCTGCTGTCCTGCTGCCCCATTGGCTGCACGAGGGTCGGAAAAAATACATAAAAACATTTAATGGAATAGTTTAGCAGCAGGATCGCTTAGCTTAGCATATAAATTGGAAATATTTGGAAACAGATAAGAGCTTTTTATCAGCTTGACTGGCTGGTTGCTGAGTTAATGACTGAACAACCCCAATTTTGAGTTTAAAAACCCTAAAATATTAGCCTGATTATATATGGAGCCATATATTTTGTATAGTTTAACATTTTCCCTCTTGTGTATGAGCCCAGCCTGCTGTATGCGGCGGCTCATGGCTCAGCTTCTGGTACTCTAGTTTAAGGCAACAAGCCCCGAGGCCTCTGGTGCCTCTTCAAGGTTGTAATTCGTCACAATGTCACAGTCTGCTTCAATGTCACATGACTCCAAACGCTGATATTTTCTACTCTCCAGTGTCGGTACCATGTTGTATACAGCCAGTGTGCTGTTGTGTGTTTCCATCAGGAATAATTAGTCATAAATTCTTCTTCCTTTCCTTTCCTTGCATGCAGGCTGCTGGAAGCCGATTCCAAGTCCATGCGGTCGATGAGCGGCTCCCGACGCAACAGCGGTTCCTCGCTGGTGTCCAGCTCCTCGGCCTCCTCGAACCTGTCGCACCTGGAGGAAGACACCTGGATCTTATGGGGACGCATAGTCAACGAGTGGGAGGAGTGGAGACGCAAGAAGGACAAACTCCTGAAGGTGGGGCATTCAGGAAATGGGAAGATAATCGTGTCACATGGAGCGTTTTCCTCAGAATGAGTCAGTGAGCTTCATTTACAGTAAGAGCTCCATTAAGGAAACCTCACACTTGGCAAATGAGGTTTCACAGCAGGTTTGCTGGATTGTTTTGCAGCAAAAACACACAGGGCTTGTTATCAGTTGCCATGTACACAGACTTTTAATTTATACGGTTACTGTGTCCTTTCCAGCTGAATGCATGTGTGGAACAAAGTGTTTGTGAGATAATCATTTATGAGCTCTGCTGTGCTGCACTCAAACCAAAACATTCAAGTAGGGATGTCCTGGTAAAGTCCCGATTTCATCTGAGCAATTTAATATTTAGTCCCAATCTGACATAATTTTCCTCAATATTTTCAAGTCATTTCAGGTTATTAAAATTATTGTAGCGTATGTGCTTGACAGTTGAACACTGCAGTGCATTCACACACAAAAAAGTTTGCATTTCCGCATCCAAGCTGTTCCTTACTTGGGTGGTTCCGCACCTTGTTGTAAAAGTCTAATTGGATGCAATACTTTCCTCTTGTCTGACATGTAGAATCAGAATCAGCTTTAATGGCCAAGTATGTACACAACATACAAGGAATTTGGTTAGTGTCGCCCTAGGAATTTACACGAATAATAGAAATAGGAACATTTAAAAAATAAAATAAAGTAAAATAACTACAGAAGAAAAAGAATAAAATACAATAAATAATAATAAAGAAAATAAACAAGATAATAAGACAAATATATACAAGAATTTACACATCCAGTAGAAAAGGTATGTACAATAGTGCAAAATGGAAGTGCATACAGCAGTTGTGGCTTGGAGTGGCTCAGCTGTTCAGTGGGGTTATGGCAGTGGGATAAAAACTGTTGAGAATGTAGGTGTACTGTACTTCCACAAGCTCCAAAAGACGCAGTTCTGTTATAGCAAGCAGAGAGCATTGTGGGAGTTCAGCTAGCACCATGACAAAGACTTCTGCGACACTTAGCGGACTACGGTGTTTGAAACAAGCCAGCGTTCTTCTTCTATCCCGGTGGTTCATGTACCAGAGCTGACTTTGCGGCCCGTTTGTCAGCTAAAACAGTCTAATATCAATTAATTGATCACAGATTGATAATGCAGACACAAACAAAGGGTCAGTGCCAATACCAATCAGTTCAAAAAAAGACTTGATCCCGATCTTTGAGGAGGAGGGATATCCCTACATTCAGCACAAGTGACAGATCTATTCAAATAAAGCTGTTCTGTGTTGAAACAGCCTTTTCAGTCCTCTACGGCAGAGCTTTTTAGTTGCACTGCACCAATACTCCTCTTTGTTCGTCCTCTGCCTCCCCTCCCTCCCTCTTTGTCTCTCTGTGTCCTCTGTCACAAAAAAAGAGTAAACCCAGGGGAAGAGAAGATGGATGAGGGAGCAGACAGCAAAATTGAGTCAGGGCAGACAAACCAAGCATAAATATATCGGCTGCCTGCAAACTCTGCAGATGCAAAAAGAAGAAAAGGGGAAAGAGCGATCAATCATAATGTGCTGAGTGTAATTATGGAGTGATGCTAAATAGCCTTTTGTAAATACACGTCTTCATCAATCTGTAATTGAGTCCTCTCCTCTCGTCTGTCTGCTCTTAAAGATGCGACTTTGAGATCCTTAAATCGCTTTGTGTGCTTAAAGAAGCGAGGTATCAATCAGCAGTCCTCTTTGATGTCTTCCAGGAGTTGATCAGGAAGGGCATCCCTCATCATTTCCGGGCCATCGTCTGGCAGCTGCTGGGCAACGCCACCGACATGCCGGTGAAGAACCAGTACTCGGAGCTGCTAAAGATGTCGTCCCCCTGCGAGAAGCTCATCCGCCGAGACATCGCCCGCACCTACCCCGAGCACGAGTTCTTCAAAGGCCAGGACAGTCTGGGGCAAGAAGTCCTCTTCAACGTCATGAAGGTGAGAACTGCGGCAGCTCATCACCGTGAGGTCGGATCTTCTCACGTTAACTATTTGAACCCCTTTGTTGGCACAAGTATGTGTAAGTTACATGGCTTTTTTTTTGCTACTAGAGGCTCAGATTATGTTTACATAGTGCCAAATTAAATGTTTTTCTGTTGCTCGCCTGCATGTTTGTGTAGCCAGTATGGGACCAACGTTGCTAAAATTGGATGACCTGGTGGCCGAGAAGTTAAAGATGCTGATCGATGTTTAATTTTAATAACCAGAACACATGCACATACATTGAAATCCAACAAACATACATTTCCTTCCTCATAAAGCTTCTGTAAGGCAGATTTTCTTTAATGGTTTTCATTGTGCATTGCTTACATCCCTGTTTTCTAGCTAACAGTCGTCTTTTTTTGCTGCCTTGCTGCGTTTCTTTGAGCTTCGCTGCCACAAACACTCAATCAGCGGCATGAAAACTGCAACCTGAGCATGTTTCATGGGCCTCATTCATGCACAATTCAAACAAGCAGCCACATAACAAATCCATATATCTTTTCTGGTTTGTTTTCTTTAGTTTATTTTTTCAAATCTCTCACATTTAGAGGCTGAGGAGACATCTTTGAACAACTTTGTCCAACTAACTAGCAGCAAATTTTTGCATTTAAGAAAAAGAAATCATCATACAGTTGCCTTTTTCCTTTATAATTTGATTTAAATAACTTAGTATGTGTCAAACTTGCCTATTTTAGCTTGGTGGATTAGTCCTGTGTGGCATTAACGACACAACAAACATGCAAACCAGAGCGCCATGTTTCATCCTGCAGGGAACTGGAAAGATCTGGCTGGCTGCTATTAAGGCCTCTGTTTTGCCAGGCTCAGTCTTACCTTCCTAATGTCATTTTGCTCCTGAAACAAAATCCCCAGAAACACAAGAAAATGTGGGACTGTGTGGCCGAACACCATGGAAACAGGCTTGTTGACTGTCTACAAATCATTCGGGTTCCCTTGTAGCCGAGCCGCTCAGGAAATGAAGGGATCTGTGGTGACACGTCGGTCCTGTTGCTCGCTGTCTGGATGTTCAGTCAGGATTACAGATGTCGTTTTTCTACAAATACAGAGCAGAGAAAATGTAATGAAATGTGTGTGTGTGTGTGTGTTTTCCAGGCGTACTCTCTGGTGGATCGAGAAGTGGGCTACTGCCAAGGCAGCGCGTTCATCGTTGGCTTGCTTCTGATGCAGGTAATGATCGAATGCTGTATTTCTGGAGAACAATCCATAATGAGGATATTTTGCCCGAAGCCTCGGTGCGGTGCGCCTCTGCTTCATTAGGATCAGTCCCGCTAGATTTCTCTGAAAAATTACAATGCACTTAAGTTGTCTCTCGAGGTTATCTGTGAAATATGAGAGTCACCGTGTAATAAACAGTTCAGCAGAGGCAGTTTTTAATTTGTACCTAATGAGGGAGCCTCGCTCATCCTCCTCTCACCTCCTCCCAGATGCCAGAGGAGGAGGCGTTTTGCGTTTTCGTGCGTCTGATGCAGGAGTACCGTCTGAGGGAGCTGTTCAAACCCAGCATGGCAGAGCTCGGTCTCTGCATCTACCAGTTCGAATATCTGCTACAGGTAAATATGAAGCCGGAGACGACGAACACGAGGCTTGCAGTGTGACGCTTGTCCACAAAGGGGCAGCAAATCATTCGTTTATATTTCCAGCACCTCTTTTCTAACATGTGCACTCCTGTTTTGGTCATTTGAGGTTTAAAACTTTGCTCTTTTGTCGCCTCAGGAGCAGCTTCCAGAGCTGAACGTCCATTTCCGCTCCCAGAGTTTCCACACGTCCATGTACGCCTCGTCCTGGTTCCTCACCCTTTTTCTCACCTTCCTCCCTCTGCCTGTTGCCACGCGCATCTTTGATATTTTCATGTATGAGGTAGGAAACATTGTGTGAATCAGTATCGGGAGATGTGCATATTCGATGTGCTAACCTGCTATTTCAACCTGCAAAATCACATGAATCTGTGATCTCTGCAGGGCCTAGAGATTATCTTCCGTGTGGGTTTGGCCATCCTGCAGTACAACCAGACTGACCTCATTCAGCTGGACATGGAGGGCATGTCGCAGGTAAGCAGTCGCAGTTTTGTGCCGCTTTCTGCACAAGCGCGTTTCGTGCACGGATTCAGCCACAAGTCAAATTCTCCACGTGCCGCTTTCCCTTCTGCACGCAAGCGTAGCGAGTCACGTATCTGAAGTTGAGATAAAAAGAAGTTTCACTCTGTTCCAGTCCGTCAGCGAGCTTTAATATCGGTCTTCTTGTGACACGATGTGACATGAAACCCTGGCACGGTGTTGATTTTTAGATATTGTTTTAAGTCTTGTTGCTCGTCAGCAAAAATCTTATCAAGAATTAGATTAAAATCTTTATTTCTACTATCTGAACTTTAGAGACTAAATCAAGATGGTAGCTGCCAGCACTACAGATGTTTTTCAACTTATAGCTTGATTTTTTTTCACTTTTTGTGTTTTATTTAATCTTGAATTTAATGTTTTGTTTGTAAAATATAATAAGAATTTCACTATTATTTCCCAAAGCCTATGGTGACATTTTCAAAGTATTTGTTATATTTGACCAACAGTTTAAAAACTACAATATCATCACATTTTCACCATATATCTGAATCAGAAACAGATTTATTGCCAGATATAATTTGCACAATATGAGGAATTTGTTCTGGTGGGTTGGTGCAACAATAAATACACACAGTGAGGAACAATGTACAAGAAAAAGATATGAAAAATAGCTTAAAAATAAACATAACTGTAGTCGTGCAAAGCAGAAGCAAAAGATATTGTGCAGTGAAGAATGAAGTTAAGTTTAAATAAGAACCATAGAACTGTAGTTATTTACGAGAATTTACGAGAGTGACTAATAACAGTGAGGATAATGAGATGGAGAGCAAAGAGAGAGAGAGATGATGAAACAGCAGCAAATCTTCACAATTGAGAAGCTGGAACCAGATCAGTTTTTTTTTTTTTTTTGTCATCTTGATAGAAGACAGAGGCGATTAATTAACGATTAAAATATAGTAGTAGTGGGGGCGCCCCGGTAGCTCAACCGGATGAGACGGCGACCAGCCAGCAGCTCATTTGCTGCATGTCCTTCCTCCGGCTCTTCTCCCCTCGTTTCACTGTCTTATCCAATAAAGGCAAAAAAAAAACAAATAAATAATCTTAAAAAAGTATATATATAGTAGTAGTAGCTGTAATAGTCAGATGAATTGATTGTCATTCAGCTCTTTTATATAAAAACTAGTTTAGTGATTCGCAGATGCTGGTTTACAATTTATTTATTTATTCATTTATTATCGGATTTGTACTGTTGGTGTCTTCCTGCCCCTTTTTGACATTAAATTGTGGAGACAGATGTGTCCGTTTTCACACATGCAGTAATTCTTATTCAAAATAAATGCATCTGTGAACTTTATTTCTGTAGCCTGATGTGCAGACAACATATTATGGTAGTAAATTATTGGTTTGAGTGACATTTTGCAAGTTTTTAATTAGATTTTAAACAAAAAATGTGGTTCATTGTCTTTGATCGCGGTTGTGAATATATAGCCGGTTTGCCCACAAGGCATCTGTAGATCCTCAGCTGCTCGTCTTCGCTCATCTCAAAAACTGTCTGCCTGTTTCTTCATAAATAACAAATGAGCATCTTTGTCTCATGTGTGTGTTTCCCTCTGGGCCTTGCAGCATTTCCAGAAGGTGATCCCCCACCAGTTTGACAGCTGTCCGGACAAGCTGATCCTCAGGGCCTACCAGGTCAAATACAACCCCAAGAGGATGAAGAAGTAAGAGAACACTCATTAGAGACTGCAGTCAATGTCCCCCAGAAGGATTTTTTGTTTCTGTCTTAGCAAATCTGAGGTTTCTGCGCCGACATCCGGTGTTGTGTAACGTGTGTTTGTTTTAAGTGCTGCATTAAGTGGGAAGAAGCACTTTACTGTTTTATCCTCCTCTGACGGAAATGGATTTTTTTTTTTCCAGACTGGAGAAAGAATACACCACAATCAAGAACAAAGAAATGGAGGAACAGATTGAGATTAAGGTGTGTGTGGGTTTTACATATCTGTGCCTGGGTTTAAAATTTTCAAACGAAAAGGCCAAATAATCGTCCCCGTCTCTATTTTCAGAGGTTACGCACAGAAAACAGGCTGCTGAAGCAGAGGATCGAGACGCTGGAGAAGGTGAGCGACGGCTTTTGACTCCTTTTATCTAAATGCTAATACAAATCAGCAGCATCACTGAGACTAAACAGCCAGGTTACGACTCTTGACGTACAAAATAGACCCGAGAAGCTCCAGTTAAACGCCGTGGTGACCATTTAAATTCATGAGCTCATTTTTTTTTTGTAGTCTCCCCGAGGAGCTTGTTCTTGTATCCCTGCGTCTGTGGATGATTGGTGCAGTTAGAGAGCAACTTGTTTGTCCTTTCTGCTCACTGAGAGAGAGACTGTAGCTTTTAATCTTCTCCTCTTCCAGTGAAATACTTTTTACTCTGAGTGATCTCACTGCTGCCTCTTTGTTCCTCCACGCTTCTCGACATTCGCTTCAAATGATTGGTTCCTCAACCTGTGATTCCATTTCTTTTCTTTCTCTCTTTCTTTCTCTCTTTTCCCTTGAATTTCCTCCTGGGTTTTTCTGGTGGTTTCTCCTCCCTGGTGTCCCACTCTGTTCCACTCTCTTCATCACTTTGTTTTTCCTCCTCTCCTCGGTGGCGCTGTAGGAGAGTGCTGCTCTGGCAGACAGACTGATACAGGTAGAGTACTGTCAACCACTTTCCCCTCGCTGTCCTCTAACCTCCCTCCACTGCTCTCCTGCACTGCTTCTGTCCCTCTTCTGAACAATAACCAGACAAAAGTGCATGAATGTCGTATATCTGTTCTGTCCACAAGACCCCCGTAACCCCTGAATGCATGTAGTGTTCGTCCATGATATTAAAAACAAAACAATATGAGGTTGTATAAATCCCTGCATGTGGCATGTTAAAGTTTCATTTTACTACTATTATTATTACACTTTTTTGTTACAACGACATTAATAAAATGTCCGACACATAGTTTGACATTTTGGGAAATGCGCTTATTTGCTTTCTTGCCATAAATGAGAAAAGAAGATATGAAGCTACGACCAGAAGGTGGTTTACATAGATGAACATAAGCACTGGAAACTAAGGAAACAGCTATAGTCTGTTCAAATCAGCCTAATGGTACATCTAAGACTCTCTAATCAGCATATTTTGTTTGCACAAGAGTGTAAAAATGAAATTTTCTGGGAGGGAAATTTAGTTTGTAGCCTAAAAACACTCGTCATTTGTGCATTTCAGAGGCTATAACGTGTCTATTAGTGAGCTTTAACAGTGCTGGCAGGCATTTAGTTACCTTCAGACGGAGCCAAGCGACCCACATTTTTTGTGCTATTTAAGCTACAGATTGATCCTCTCGGCTGGCTCTCTGCAAGCATCTAAGCATCTTTCCCAAAATTTAGAAAATGCTCCTTTAAAGGCTTAAAAAAAAAAAAAAAACGTGTAACCAAATTCCTCTTCACTTTAAGAATGTTGCATTCCCAATATTGACCAGAGTTACCTTGTTTTCCCTGCATAGTTTGAATTTTGAAGTTGAAAGCTCTCCAGCCGATCTTGACCTCCGGTCCTGCTCTGGCCTTGCTTTTCAGGGTCAGGTGACGAGGGCGCAGGAGGCCGAGGAGAACTACGTGATCAAGCGGGAGCTGGCGGTGGTGAGGCAGCAGTGCAACACGGCCAGCGAGAGCCTGGAGAAAGCCCAGGACACCATCAGAGAGCTGCAGCAGCAGAAGGTAAATGAACGAAAGCTTCATGTTTCCTGCTGAGTTCAACCTACAGACTCTTCACAAGAAGTCTACTTCCTCAAATGTTGAACCGTTTCTTTTATTATACCCGTTTATAGACGCAAACCGCAGCAGTTGTGACCTTTCTTGAAGTTGTCAAATCCGCTTAGGGCCTGAGGTCGATCTCGGGGCAAAAAAATTGGGAAATGATTTTTGCCACATCACTGTTTGTTCAGAGTTCAATGGAAGCGCAAAGTGTAGGACGTGTTTCACAACTTAATGAAAGAAAAATGAGCTTGCGAGGAAATTCTTAACGTACAGATTCCATCAAAGTTTATTTTAGAGTTTGCACCCTTTGACCTCTAGTGTGAGGGTGTTAAAAATTCATATTCATCAGGCGGAAACACAACCACGGATCATTTAAGTCCGTTTAAATCAAGTCAGTAGATGATAACCAAGTTGATAAAGACATAAAACTGCACAAACAAATAAAATAATTCCAAAATGTAAAGTTTTTCCATTAAAAACATCACAGATCATTAGATTTCTGTGTCAACATGGTGACTCCATCTATAATGTACAACACGAAAATAGAAATTTAAGCTGCTCTGTCTGAACTGCATGTCGGATGTTTTGGCAACTCCCTCCAACTTCACACCTGATTTTTTATTTATATTGTAAATTTTATAGTGATATATTTAAGTTCCCTGGTCGTTGAGCTTCTTCTAAGCCGTGCCTCCTTAACATGGCTCGTCACTCACACTTACAAAAGTCCAAATCATAACTCTCTAGTCACTGATTCTGCTGCCTTTATTTGGCTGATTTACTCTCACTTTAAAGAAAATAACAAAACATTTCTAATTCAAACGCCAGCTCAAAGACTGTTCTGTTCTACACGTCTCACTACTTTCTTCTGTCACAACTTATCACTAATTGAAAAAAAAGTCAAACAACAAAAATTGTTCATAATATTAATTTGAGACCAATAAATAAATCAATCAATCAATTAGCAAACTGAGAGATTATATATAAAACATTTCCTGTGGTGTTTTCTTGTAAATGAAGACTCTACTCACTGCTCATATTCTGTTACTTACTAAATGCCTTGTTTGTATCCTTGAGGTTTGACCAATGTGTTAAATTTCATTTCAAACATTAGCATGTTTTTCTTTGAAGCCTGAACCCACATCAAGTAGGAACATCTTGTCACTTCCGTGTGCACAAAAACCACCAAGACAGCAACTCGCACGCAAAATACGGCTACGAAAGGTTAAAAATTCCTCATCCTGTCTTTAAATGTTTGCCGTTATCTCTGTTAATGTATTGAGATGTGCACGTTGTCACTGATGATCACCCACCACGCTGCTTCGATTGCATTTTCTGAGCTCCCTCCACATTAGTCAAGCTTCCACTTTGTCATATTCAAACACACCCTCATCAGGAACTACACGCCCTGGGTGGGAGCGCTAAACCGTGCAGCCTTAGCGGGATGGGTTGCTCACACAGAGAAAGTCAGGGAAAACCCGGGTTTGTGTAATTATTTGCCGAAGGCACCAGTTTGTCACAGTCACAACAGAAATGTGCGCTGATTTTTTTTGTTTCCTGCAGTTTTTCTTTGAGCTCCTTTTGATAACAAAGAAGCGACTCACACGGTCGTGTTTCCACATGAAGCTGAGAGGATATGAGTGATTCACTCATGAACCGACCCTGCAGAGCTCAGCACCCGAGACTGATGCGCTGGACTCTGTTAGCGTTTCCACAGTTTAGTTTTGGATGCAACACACTGACTTTAAAGTGAAGCCGTTATTAGATTACAGTGCTTATTCTCCCATAAATTGCTGGATGTTTACATCTGTAACAGGCTCTAAGGAGTCTACAGTTTTCAACAAACAATGATGTAAGCAGCCTCACTGCTAAAGCAATTTACTCTCATAATCACAATATCGTTTAAATCCAGTTTTCTGGAGTAGAAACAAATAACATGCAGCTTTTACTGCTGTCTGAATATAAACAGCACTGCATTCAGCCTGAGGACGACAAAGTCAAAGCTTTGCAATACCACATTTTTTCAAGTATCCAATTTTTCCTCTTTGCAGAGTTTGTGAGACACAGCTAATCTGAATTGATATTCTATTATTGTATTATTTTAAAAAGTTTGATCAACTTTGTTTGATGTTTATGTGAAATCATCTGCCTTATGGGGACTTTTTAATTCAAGTTTTCTTTATTAATTTTGCACAGAATCAAACAGAGTCACAGGCAGTATTATTGACATAATAAACAGCAGTTCCATCATGAAACAATAAGCTAACAAAGCTCCCAAACCCACTCTATACTATTTAGGGGGACTTTTAAATGATTTATTATTTTAGTATTGCTGGTTTCATAAAAAATTGTCCATTTACAACAACAACAAATAGATCTGAAGATTTGAAGCACTTCTGAATTACTGCAGTTCACATTAAAACACTGTATTTGTACTTTTTGCTACGTTTAGAGCTACAAATTAGTTCACAAGCTTAGATTTTACATTCAAAACAGTTAAAAAAATGTGTCAGATGTGATCCACTATTATACATAATATTTGCCAATAGAATATTATGTGTTTAATTGCGCTATCTTAACTATGATGTAGTGAATCGTGTAACACTCTCAAAGCAGTGGTTGCTCATTGAAAAGTTTTATTTCTGGTAATTAAAGTAGAATTTGTTCATAATACTTAACATTCCAGTGCAGGGTTTCTACTTGAAGTATTTTTACATGTAGTATTTCTACTTTTAATCAAGTGAAGGATATGGAAACTGTTCACTGTTAGATTCTGAAATATTCTGACATGCCTAGACTGAATAATCCTCAGTGTCCTTATATGATTTCCTGCTATATATGAGAGCAGCGTATTCAGAAATATAGCGCCACGTTGTGTTTGTGATAAGCACGCAGGCTGTCGGTTTTAGATGGACCTTTCACTAGCATAGACAAAAACAGCCTCGTGGTCTTTGCTCGTGCTGCTAAACACTGATTTAAAGTAAAAATGCACAAGCTCGCCTCAGCAACTCACGATCATGTGCGAGAAGACGGCGTGACAGACGTGCGCCAAGCTAATTATTGACTAAATTGACAACCAAAAGTTACTTGAACCGCCACTGATTTCGTGACAAGTGATTTTATTTGAGCTCAAATTGCCGGCAGCCATCACCCACCAGGGTTCACACACCTCCAGACACTCGCAGTTTCTCTTTGATAACAAAGGCCGGGAGGCTCGATATGACAAATCGAAAATCTTGCACTCACGCTATGTGCTCGCCCAATTTCGAGCTTTTTTTTTTTTTTTTTTCAGTATTTAGCCTGATAGGAAAATACATTTCCAGTCAGCTCTCTGTCTCTCCGCTGCTCTCGAACGCATCACTTTGTAGTTTCACCTTGATGTGGTGACATGAAAACCTACAGTAGCTTCCTAATTTGTGACATAACTCTGACTCAAAAGTGCTGCTCGATTCAGATTTTGGTGATCAGCTATTTTGAAGTTTGAAGGTTATTTGGACCCAGATGTTTACCGAGGACACAACAGGAGAATTTATTACGTTTTTCAAGGCCTTGGATGAAGTTTTTATGTTGCTGTCGAGATCGGCTGCAAGTCATCATAAAGCAGTGATCGATTTGTCTGAGAAATGAGGAAGAATGCAGTAACTTTGTGGCTGCAGCCAGGAATCAACTGTATCCCTGAATGTGGCTTAATAACAACTGTATCTCTCAGGGGGGGAAAAAGGCAGAGACATACAATGATTGAAGACTGCAGGATAGTATGGGTTCACTCAGTGTCTTCTTTTCTCAGCAGAAAACAGAAAGAGAAAGGGATTAAAAACGGCAGCTTGTGGCAGAATTCACACCCACAGACACACTGTGGTAATCTGAACTGAGCTCAACTGCTAACCATGACAAACTCCATCCATGCAGCTCGTCTGCAACTGACAAGAAAATGGAAACTTACCCAGACAAGCTGAGCAGCAGCTTTCTCAGTTTAGAGTCTGTACAGCAACACATATTTAAGAAAGCGGCTCGAGAAAACGATTCAAGCCGGCACAAAGCACCGCCGATGTGGTCCACAGTGTAACACTGCGATGTTTGTTTTCAGTACACGGAGCAGTTTGTGAGCAACCTGCAGACCCAGCTGGAGCAGTCGAGGCTGCGCGAGGCCGAGTTGCTCGGAGCGCTGAAGGAAATGCAAGACAAAGTGTTAGACCTGGAGAAGGTGAGCTACAGCAGCTGACTGCGTGGGAGAGAACAGAGTGATCAGCTTCTGTGAATGTGTTTGATGTTACAGTTTAGTTTACTGTAAGATAATATCTCAGTGAATGACAGGAACACATGCTTGAGTGTTCAGGCTTTTGATTTTCCTTTGAGAGGTGTTGAGACACAACAGCTCCTCATGATAATGACTTAACTGTATTAGATCTTTTCCAGTTTTCAATATTACATTTGTAACCACGCAAGCAGCTGTTTGTCCGTTAGTGAGAACTTTGGTCCAGACTGAAATGACTCCACAGCAGCTGGATGGATAAAATACCTGCGAAATTAATGACATTCACACTAAGATGACTGAAGACAGCAACATGTGGCAGTAATGCTGGTTGTTTTCTCACGAGCAAAGTGTCACTCACCAAAATGCATCGTGTGCATCACCGAGGTTTAACCACAGTTGTCTTCCTTGTGAACTTGTTCGCCGACATCTTGCTGAACCTGAAATGTTCGTCCATCCAGAGGAGCAGCTGCCTGCCGGATGAGAACAACGTGGCGGCCCTGCAGGAGGAGGTGAAGCAGATGAAGCTGAGGGAGCTGGAGACACTGCGCTCCTTCAGAGAGATGCAGGACACCGTCACTGAGCTGAACCAGCGCTGGCAGGTACAACACACAAACCGTTTTGGTGTAAAGTATCCATGTGTGTGTGTGCACGGAGTTATACCCGCTCACGCTTTGTCCCCACAGCATCACATGTCCCGCGGCAGCAGCACCGGCGGCGGCGGCGGACACTGGAAGGAATCCCCGAAGAAGAACGCCATGAACGAGCTGCAGGACAAACTGATGACAGTGAGACTGAGGGAGGCTCAGGGTCAGGCTGAGCTCCGAGAGGTCAAACTCAAAGCCCTGCAGCTGGAGAGCCAGGTCAGCGTTACTGTCAGCCAATGAGAGAGGGCATTCCCTTTCTTTATATACACGAGTATAAGGCGCAAAAAAAAAAGTTCGATCTGCTGCAAGCATTTGGTATGAATGGTGACATGAAAATGAACAAAGGTAGATGGGTCATGTGGCGTCAGGATACTGTAGGAAACAATACAACATATGACTTGTAGGGATTTGTTTTTCCCTTAAACTTAAACGATTAGCCGAATATGGAACCGATTACCTGAAAAAAGTGTTTTCTTAGTATACTGCCTTTAATTCTTGTCCCATTCATAACACCTAAGAAAGTACAACAAAACACTACCTTCTTTCATTTACAGTTTTCCCTTTTAATACATAAGCATTGTCCTCAACGAATAATAAAGATGTAATGACAACATAAACAAAATAGTCAGTTGGTTCTTAAGCTAAAGGGTCACTTCATAAATGTGCAGAGTTTTTACTCCTTTTCACATCCCTGTTAGTTTAGTAACTTGGCCGTTGGTCAGATGGTTTTCAGCTTAAGTTTTAGTAAACTGTGATTGTCAGGCATTTATTTTCACACGTGTAAAGATTCCTTTCATAATGATTAATTCATTATTTACAGTAGTTGGCGCCCTATTCTCATCGTCTCCTGTTTGACTTCCTCCATTGTAGAACCAGATCCACAGCAAACTGATCGGTCGCCACGAGCAGGAACGATCCGCCCTGCAGGACCGGCTACAGATGGTGGCCAATCAGAACAAAGCTCTGCAGGCCCAGCTCAACGAGATGAAAAGGAAGCAGGCCGAGTTCGACTGCAAGGTCTGAACGGAGGGCAGAGGGACTAGGAATGAGTTTGCAGGAGGGGAGAGAATTAACTAAGAGCGAGGCTAAATGGTATCAGAACACATAGTAACGAGACACTGAATGGATGAAGACATTAATGAAGAGCATGAAACCACAGAGAAGGGAGACCAGATAGATTCTGTAGAGCTGAAACAGATAGCGGATGGGGAAATTGGCAGTCTGGTTATAAATTCTGGAATTCATATCCTGAGAAGATTCGCAGATGCAATGAAGGAAAAGGCCAGAGCAGGATGTTGATGATGGGACAGTTATCCACGATCTGCAGCCACAGCAGCAGGCAGCCATTAACCAGAAAATGTCATCTTCTGTCTTTGTCTCTCTGTTGACCCACTTTCTTTCTCCCCCATGTAATACACACAGAGTAAGGAGGAGGTGATGGCAGTGCGGCTGAGGGAAGCCGACAGTATGGCTGCCATGGCTGAACTCAGGCAGAAGATCGCTGAGCTGGAGATACAGGTTCGTCTGCCTGGATGTGACTTTGTTTGTAGTTGTGCATACATCGACAATTTACATTTAGAGTCACTGATTCGAGCAGTTTAACAATATTTTACCAATTAAAAGGACTGTGACCTTCAGCTGTGGGTGTTTTTTCAGAAGGAGGAAGGGCTGATCCAGGGCCAGCTGAACCACTCAGACTCCAGACAATACATCAACCAGCTGCGGGACCAGATCACTGAGCTCAAGAACGAGGTACTACTCAATTCAGAAGTACAGAGTTTCATAACCAGTGTGTCACAAGTAGCATTTTCAACATGGATGAAGTACATGAAGTAGTACTGTTTGGGAGCAGTTAACACCATGGTAACAACACATGCCGTCCTCACTGTGTCCCTTACTGACCCTGAGCATGAAAATATTATCTGTTTCCAGTGAACTTCTTACTGCTTCTCAGAGAGCTCAGAGGTAATTAGTTAATCCGCAGAAAATTAATTTCGGTATCAGAGAATTTGCTGCTTCCTTTGTTTTATATCTTTGTAGTCTCGGCTAGACACCCTACTGTGTTGTAGATAATGGTCTGACTGCACCACATGATCCTTTTGCTCTATGTGGATAATTCACTGCACAACTTCCTTACTGCACAAGCCAAATCCTCTGCCAAGCTTAACATTTTTAGCGTGGTGGGTTGCTAGCTTTGGAGGTTGCTGTTGTTGTTTCCTGTTGTGAAGAAAACGGTAACCCACAGGTAGGGAAGGGCCAGCTGAATTACTCACAGGTAGCGGATGGAAAGACAACTTGAAATGATCGCTGGCTTGTATCCGCATCCTACATCCGGTGAGTCAGACTAATAGCTTTGTTAGCCGGCTCTATAACGTTGCCGGTTGTTGAGACATCACATCGTGCTTCTGAGCATTTTTCGGCAACGTTTTGATATTTAAAAGTACAAATAGTTAAGAAAAAAAATTCCCAATGACGTCAAATAATTACTGCCTACTCCAGCTTTAAAAGACACCAGACCGATTTGAGTGCTGTCCTCTATTTGAAACCTGTCTTGCAGAGATTCAGGGATATTTGCTCTATAAAACATCTTGTGTAATCTGACCCAGAGACAGTTATAACTGAGTTTTCTCTGTATAGAACCAAATCACAAGTCATCTGAGAGCACTTCACGTAGTAAGCTCAGCTCCTTTAAATATTATACAGAGAAACCCACTGATTCCCTTCGATCGAGAGAAAATAAAATCTGCTTTAACATTTGGAAACCTCCAGCAGCACTAGACTCAGAGATGGTGGCCTTCTGTCTCGACCACATGATGACAAATCGTGTCTAGCACCTGTTTTTCAGTCACATTTCATGATCTGTTAGGGTTTCAAGAATGTAGATGACAAACGCACAGCTAGTCGCTCTTTTCGGCATAAGTGAAACTTGGTAAATGGAGTATGTGTGTACTGTATATACGCACACAGATATGCTGCAGCTTTGCTTAACCACCACCACCGAAAAATCTTGTCATCTACGTGCAGCCTACAGACACCACTTCCACCCCAACACACACTCACACACACACTCTCTCTCACACACACACACACACACACACACACACAGCTGTTTGAGTGTCTTTCTTGTAACAGGAGACCACTGCTCTCCCCCAACAGCTGCGTTCTCACCAGTTGATTCATTGTGAACTTTAATCCTGAAAGAGGACTGAGGTTCACACAGATAGGTGTGTGACGTTCACAAAGGTTTTTTTTTTCTCCTTGTCTTCTTGTTAAACCCACAGCTCTGTAGCTTTTATGCACAGTTAACTCACTCTGTTGAAAAATGAAGCACCAGTATAGCTAATTTACATGTTTTGCTTTTACTTGCAGGCTGCTTTGCGGTTTTGAGAAAATTCAATGACGTCTTGGGTTTATGGAGATAATTTCCTGCCCTGATTGGTCTCAAAGTTCTCGCTCAGTTCTGAGTTTGTTCATTCAGAGAGTGGCAGTGCGTGACAAGGAGGGAGTGTGTTCAAAGTTAAGAGGCGTGATGAGACCGCCCTGCCCTTTACCGCTCCTCTGCATGGCTTTTTTTCTATTTCTAATCAAAGCAGTGGTTTTATAAATGAGACTGAAACTTGCGTGAGTACAGATGAGGAAGCAATGAGCCATTTTGAAAAATCTCAGTGTAGAGCTCCAAGCCATCTTCTTGCAATTGAGTCACATTGATGCTGCTGATACATGATGGCACATTTTATACATGCAGCTGAATTCATCAAATATGTGTACACAATTATATACATTTATTTGACAAGCGTTTTGGGGTTTCTACAAAGACATAATGCTTTGGAATATAAATCTTTGTATTATATTAATATTAACTAACCTGCTTTACTGAAAAATACAAAATATTAGAAAATGACCCAAAAAACATGGCTCCTTTTTCTTTCTTTTTTTTTGCTGTAGCTTAGCAGGCTGTCACAGTCAAAACATTTCCACTGGTTAACCACTGGTTTCCCCTTCCCCTGCGCCCTGCAACTTGCCTAAGAGTTTGATTGGGGGAAAACAAAAACCTCTGAGATTTGTTGTGAGTCACTGTGGTACGTGCAGGATTAGCATATAGCTCCTCTGTCAGGCAAGAGAGACTGCTGCACAGCTGGACAGCCGCAATAAACCACAAGCGCTTGTTTTTTTTCTCTTTAAATTTGTTCATTTATGTAGAATTTTGATCTTGTACACAGTTAAAATCAGAGCACCCCTCCCTGACTCGACTGCCAGGTGGGTGCTCTGATTTTGCTGTAAACATCCCACGGCCCTATTTACGCAACCCATGAATGGTAAAACAGACATGTCAGTGGGTTTCACAGGGTTTTTTTCACACCCAACAAATGGTTCAAAAAATTCCCAGTACCTGACATTTAGTGCTCGTCAAACCGATTTAACACGATTCACAGACCAGTAAACCTCACCCAATGACACAGTTCAAGGTGTACTTAACCGCTTTTTTTCCCGCAAAATCTGTTTGCCCTTCAGTTTTAATTCTAAAGCTGACAGCTTTCAGTCACTTGTTTGGAAAGAAGCGCTAAACTTTTGAGATGACAAGCACATGCTGTCTATTGCATTGATGTACTCATGTACGGTACTATTGAACTGATTTATTCAAAATAATGTCAATTAATTGTAAATGTCAAATAAGTATTTACCCACTTTGAGGTGGCTCACATGTTTCAACACAGCCGATTGCTGCTAGAAGTCACACAGTTGAGACCATCTGAGTGCAGTGGATGTGTTTCAAGTGACTGTATTATAAAGACTGGGGAAGTCCTGGCTATAACTGCACAATTGAGACCAAACAATACTTAATGCAACTCTGTGAAAAGGTTATCAAAAAGCACAAGTCAGGGAAAATTTCCCAGTCACTGAATATCTGTTGGAATACAGGTAAATCCATCATTAAGAAATGGAAGGAATATGAAGCATGCATAAATCTGCCTAGAGCAGGCCGTTCTCAAAAACTGAGTAACTCTGCAAGGAAGAGACTAGTGTGGAGGCCAGCAAGACAGTCCTCTAAAAGAGTTACAAGCTTCTGCATCTCAGATAGGAGAGACTGCATACAACAACTGTTGCTTAAAAAGAAAACCCCTGTTGAAATGTGTTCATATTAGATCTAGACTAGAGTTCACCAGGAGGCATGTGGGAGACTCTGAAGTCAACTAGAAGAAGGTTCTCTGGTCTAATGAGAAAAAAAAATAGCTTTTTACCCATCACATGAGATGCTACGCACAAGATGCGCCATCCCCACCATGAAGCACGGTGGTGGCATTATCATGATGCTTTTTGGCAGCCCTGGGAGGCTTGTAGAGGTAGAGGGTGAAATTAATCCAGCAGAGTGTAGGGAAATCCTGGAGGACAACCTCATTCAGTCTGCAAGAGAACTGAAACTTTGGAGAAGATTTGTTTTCTAGCAAGACGATAACACAAAGCATATAAACTTTAAAGACAATGAATGTTGTGGAGTGGCCAAGTCAGAGGCCAGACCTCAATCCTGTTGAGAATTCGTGGCTGAACTTGAACTGGGTTGTTCACTTGTGGTCCGTTAAAACACAATACACAACATCACTTATAGTTTCTCACCTTTTATATTTTACCTCATGAACAATTTTTGTATCTTGTTATTTTATGACAAGCAACCGAAAGTAAACAGGAAGCAGATGGACACTACATTTATTTTTGGAGTCAGTTTCAGATACACTGTTTGGTTGCCGGAAGTGCCAAAGACATGGTTGTTTGGTGTTTACGTTGGGATTTACTGACAAGATAACTACACAATCATGTCAGGCTTTAAAATCCTGACTCTGTAAGTACAGCTGAACTACAGACAACCTCACTGAAGTAAAACCCTCCTTCTTCTTCTGTACTCAGATCAGGCTGCTGCGAGGGCATAGGGCGGCCCCCAGCTCCAGGGTCACCAGTGGTGGAGGAAGTACCAACTACCAGGATCTGTGCCTGGCCAGCCCTGCCTCCGCTGAGGGCGACTACCTCAGCTCAGATGAGGACCTCCTCCCCAGCCCACTGCCCGCCACCGCCCTCTACCCCACCCTGTCCGGCCCGTGTCACCCGTCCGCCCGCCTCGACAGCGAAGGCAGCACGGACAGCGAGGCGGAGGAGCGAGTTCAGACGCATCCGGACCCACAGCAGCTATATGGCAGCATGGTGTGTGCCGAGGCGCTGGATAACTGAGACCTGGAGGAGGGTGCAGTGATTTCTTTGGATTTCTTTGACCTATAGAGACACTGGAGCTCTGCAGGACAAACTGCTACAATAAACTGGGATTGTACTGTCCATCCCAGTCCTCCTCCTCCTCCTCCTCATCCTCCTCCTCCTCCTCAGCTTTTCCGGTGTTTACCTTTTACTTGATGCAGACATAGTGGCATTGATTGGACCTCTTCTGATCATCACTACCTGTTGTCTCTGCTCCCGTTACCGTCTCCTACCACCTTGTTGCCCACAGTGTCCGATCCTGTGTTCCCCCGACAGAGAGGTAATGTAAAGCCTCTCTCCTTGTTCCCAACGTGTAATTGCGCCAGAAACTGTCCGTCGAAACGCATATCCATCCAAACACGACACACACACACGACATGCATACACACAAAACACACTGAAAAACTGGACCAGCGCGACCGCTGCTGCTCGAGATCTACCACTGGACCTGAATCTGTGACTGTGGCGAGGAGTGAACGATGGGTAGACAGACAGGAAAATAACTCCGCCCTCTCCCTGTAAACTGAATAATAGACACTTGACACACTGTATACTCTGTCTGCCCTTATATTACTCTCCTTCCTGATTGGTTCAGAATTAAATCCGTTGTAATCCCCTTCCCCCTTTTTACGCCTCTCATAAGGAAGCCTCACATCCATCTTCACTGCCTTCAGGAAAAGAGAAAAAAAAAAAACACAACTTCTGTCAGCCATCTGTTCACCTCTGTGTAGACCAAGAACATTTAAATGAGCGTGACAAGAACACACACACATCAGTATCAAACTGGTAGGGACATCACAAGATGGCATTCATAGGTGACTCATTAACATACTAAATATTTGTGTTGTGTGCGGCTTGCAGAAGACAAGAGGGGCAAGCAAGTTCATGTGACTTCACAATAACCCACAAAAAAAAGGAAGGAAGAAACTCATTGTTGCCAAATCTTTTGTTTCGTTTTTTTTTTTTTTTTTAATTATTATTTATGTGTTGTAATTTATTTTGATATTTTTTAATTTTTTTATATATCTATATGAAACTGTAGGAGTGTAGAGATACCGACAGAGGCCAAACTTTCTGCACCGTCCTTTGTGCCAACTTGTCATCTGTCATGAGTTTACTGTGACACTGAGTGTTTCAGAGACAGAAAACGTGCTGCTATGATTTTGGATTTATTCCTTCCATTTTGTTCTTGCTGTTATTTTTATTTTATTTTTTTTGTTTTTTTTTTTTTTTTTTCATCTTTGTCCAAACTTACGCTAACTCTGCTATAGATTACATTGACAGCTACTGTGCAGAGCAATCACATCTAAAAACAAACTGAACAGTTTAACTTCCTCTGTGGAACTTCTCAACTTGGACCAATGATGGGAACAGTTTCCTTCAAAAACAAACACTAGTATGTGTGACCTAAAGGAACAGTTTTGACATTTTGGCAAATGACTTTATTTGCTGTCGAGATTGTGACGAGAAGATTGATACCACTCCAGTGTCTCTATGAAGCCTTTAGCTTGCATTCCTGTGCTGCTTTATCGCCTATTTTACTGTGAATGGGACCATAATTTACTAGATGAACACCTCGTTGTGCGAAAGAAGACTTGAAAGCAGCAATTGAGACCATAAACACATGAGGAAAATGGTTACTGAGGTAACAAATTAAGTGAGAAGTAGGATTATTTTCTCATGTATTTCTGTACAATCCGACTTCAGAGGAGTCGCCCCCTGCTGGCTGTTAGAAAGAATGCAGCATGTCTGCATTTTTATTTTTATTTTCTATTTGGCTTTTGCCTTTATTTATCAGAGCAGTGGAGAGAGACAGGAAATGAGGTAGAAGACCAGGGAAGGACCTGCAGCAAATGGCTGTCGTCAGGAGTTGATCCCACGACCGCTGTGTCGGGGACTATAGCCCGTTTTTAGGGTCGCTGTGTTATCCAGTTGAGCTACTGGGGTGCCCCTTGACCTTACTGTTTAGTCCAGAAGGCCTCTTATATATTTATTCTATGGTTGAAGGCCAGCTTGTTTTTATGTTTAAAGATTAAAGCAAGCCATGTAGCTGTTGCTGAGCAAAGGCCGTAAGCGCTATAATAGTCACGTCTAAAACATTGTGCAACTTTAGCACAAATAGATAAGGGCCATAAAGCCAGTAAACTGAATCAGTAATGTTACTTACATCGCAACATCTTACTGTGGTTCGTTGACGTTAGCTAATTACAAGTTTTTGTATTAAACTTTGAATTTTAAAATAGAAGAATGTCTCCTTTCAAACATTATATAGTTTTTAAGCTTCTTTAAACAGTTGAGAGGTGAGTTTTACACGTGTTCATGGATGGATTTTTGGACAGAGCAAGACTAGCGGTTTCCTCTTTCTTCAAGCCTTCATGCTAAGCTAAGCTAACTCGACTCCAAGCTGTAGCTTCACATTTACCAGACAGCCATGAGGGTGGTATCAGTCCTCTCTTCGAACTGTTCCTTTGATTACCAGTGTCCCATAAAAACTAACAAAACCAATCCAGGTATCAGCATTGATCTGGAATTACCAGTTCATGCGCCCACATCACTTTCTGACAGCTACAGCTGTGGGCCGACCAAAGGGGACGGTGGTGGTTTCATTTTGTAAAGAGTGCTGACGAAAGGCTGCCGTCATGGCTGGAGAGTGTGTGGATGGAAAATATTTTACATATCAAACGTTAATATATTCTGTCTAGAAAAGAAAAAAAAGGTTGTAAAATGTATGGAGAAATATGAAATATACTGTTTGACAGGAACAAAAGTATATAGATGATATTTAAAGCTGCATCACTGTCAGTCAAGTCAGAGGGTTTATCAAACAGGGTATCATATGTACAGAGCAGTGATCTTTGCTGTTTGCACTACAGGGAAAGACAAACTCTCCACTCATGACATTAAGCTGTGAGAGACGGTGTGGATTAATAGATTCGTGGTGGGATCATTTCTTGTTCTATTCATCTCTTCAGAGGGACCTTAAGATTATACATCCTGACTTTGTGTTGTGCTTCATTAATCCTCTGACAAATTTTCCTTCACTATGCCGACATAGTCTGTGCAACGCAAATAAAACAACTAGAACGCAGAGCATTATTGCCGTCTCCTGAGAAATAAGGAAACTGGATCTTCCAGTAATGGCCATCAAGGAGCTAAAGAGGATGTTGGTTTGCCCACCAGACTGTTGCACATAACAGCTTTTTAGTGGTGGATGTAGCAACTGAAATCTCTACACTGGAATCAGTGGATAAGGTCAGGCCAAATGACGGTTGTTCAAATGTTTCCTTTGAGTTCTCAGTACAGGCTGTAGTTTGATGCCGGCTCTGTTGAACGTGACATCTAAGCCTCTAAATGTGTTTACTTCAAATCATATCTGGTTGAATTTCATGCTTAAAGTCATAATCCTTAAGATTTCTCATCATATCAGTCCCAGATTTGTGATCAGATTTGGTTTTTTGGTGCATTTACGCAGGGCAGTCGCCTCTTTGTGTGGAAGTTTAAATCGTTAGGCGGACCAAGGACAGTTCATTCAGTCGTATGCAGCAGACGTGAAAGATATGTTTTGAAAATGTGAAAATATTAGAAAAAGTAACATAAAACGCGATTTAAGATTTACCTGGAGCTCTTTGATGACACCATCACGTGGCAGTGGTTCATTTAAACTGAAAAGTTTTGCGCCAATGAATGAAAATGAACATGATTTGCACATTTTTTTAGGATTTCCTTGAGATTTCCTTAAATTTGCCTCATACTTAGATGGAAACCTGCTTATTCTCGACTGGCTTCTTCTCCATTAAAACATTAAGGCATCATAGTTTAGTTGCTCTATTAAAGTTTTTTTTTTTTTTAAACTCTTGGAGCTACATCAGTATTAAAACTAACCTGCCAATCCCACCAGTAAGTATAGATGTTGCCAAATGACTCAAAACCTTAAGGATTATAACTTTATTATTTCTGTTTGGATTCCACTCAGAAATATATAAACTTCTTGTAGGAAGCTTCCTTCAGAACAGCGTCCTTTCTGACTTTAATCTGGATCCATATCAGCGCTCGGTGTCCTTCAACACATCACCACATGTGTACAGCTGTTCAGTGATGGTGCTCTGTTCTCACCACTGTCTCAATACAACTCTATCTACTGTGACGAAACATTTTGATATGTTTGTAAATTAGTTTTGAATAACGGTAATCGCCTTCATCCTTAGTATTATTTTTATATTCACCGTCAGTACTTTTGTTCCTCCTGCTAACAGCGTTACGATGATTAAACATCCTAATGTGCCATAAAAGTAGTGATTTACACAGTGTGCCGAATGACTTTGTTTAAGTTTCATCGACGAGTTAGCCACTTCATCGAACAGCCATGTGACATGAAGTGAATTTTTACGTGAAATACGATCGCACTGTTACTCCAGATTTATCATCTTGAAACTGCAACACCCACCCACATGTTTCCTCTGATTTAAAGCAGGAAATTTAACAATACAGTAAAAAAGAAAAAAAAAAAAAAGAAAGAAACTATGAGAGTTTTTTTCCATTTTAGATCTGATGGAGGATTTCTCAGACTTACGTACTGTATATCCACAGCATCATACCCAGGAGCCTTGTCCACCCTCTCTCTTTCTCTCTTGCAGTTCAGCTGATGTTGTCAAATATATTAAATGACAGTAAAAATTATATTAATTCCTGTATGATGGGGAAAAAATACATTTCAGTGTTCTGTATCCTATGAATGATACAAATAAACTTTGACATTGCACCTTTGCAAAGGCCTGATTTTGTTGTTGTTGTCGTGTGTTACTGGTCGCTAAAGATTAGTCGTCTCTTTCAGTTCAAATCTAGTTTTGATATGATGCAATGAAGATTAATCTGTCACCATCGGAAAACACAAACCCTTAAACTCCCATGTGTCGCTATTATGCAGCTAACAGAACTAAAGCAAAGCTAACTTTTAGCTTTCTGACATATGGTTTTAGATTGAGGAGTAAGATTTGGTGGACGTACAAATGGTGACAAATTCAAGTACAAGCCTTAATACTTGGCCCATACCGTTGGGGGTATTTAGTGGCTGTGTTATGCTGTGGGCGGGCATTTTGCTAGCATGATTTGAGTCATGGAATTGCATTCTGAGTGATCACATACTACAAAGCATCCTCATGCTGTAAAACAGTGCCCCCATCCAGAGGGCAATAAGGATCTCGAATGGTTTTAGGGGTTTGAAAATGATGCTTTTTTTGCAGATGATGTGGTTCTGTTGGCTTCACCAGGCTGTGACCTTTAGCATGCTCTGCAGCAGTTTGCAGCTGAGTGTGAAGCAGCTGTAAAGAGTCGGTACCGCCAAGGGGTTAAAGAATTTCATGATCATATTCATGATAGATGGGCAGATGGTGCAGCATCTGTGGGCGTTGTACAGGACATAGCTCTCGATTTACCAGCCGATCTATGTTCCTGCACTCACCTACTTCAATTAGCTCTCTGTAGTGACCAAAAGAATGAGATTGTGGATACGATAGCCCACTAATCTCGCTTCGTAGTACAGCCCTCTGGTATTCTTTTGTTGGTTTGGATTATCCAGTGAGCAGCTAGATTGCCTCAGTTTTTTATTACTTTCTTTGTTTTGGGTAACATTCATTGTCCCTTGGTTCCCTTAACATTATGACATAACTGTCCACCTCCACCTCTGCATAGTTGGCAGCTCTTTCTACTTTTTCCCTTTCCCTTTATGTGGGCCTGCGTGAGGTGTGGATGTGTGCTGGACACCTGTTGGATAATCAGCTGAATGAGGACACCTGTGGCAGGATGTGGCTCACCTGTTTTCAATCTGCACCTGACATAAAGAAGGCTTGGTTCACCACTCAGTGCTGGACTGTTGTACGATGCACAGTCGGTCGACTCAGGCCAGCTTAAGGCCTGTTCTTCATCTGGATTCCCTGCTGAAGATAATTCCTCACACACCTGGATCTGGTTGATTTGAAGTCTTACATTTCAATATCCCTCAAACCCTGCTGCACAGCTCCTCAGCCCTCATTCCCCTTAACACTCCCCAGTTCACAACTCCATCCATCCATCCATCCATCATCTATACACCGCTTAATCCTCACTAGGGTCGTGGGGGGCTGGAGTCTATCCCAGCAGACTCAGGGTGAAGGCAGGGGACACCCTGGACAGGTCACCAGTCTGTCACAGGGCCACACTTAGAGACAGACAACCAAGCACATTCACACCTATGGACAATTTAGAATCACCAATTAACCTCAACATGTTTTTGGACCTTGTGGGAGGAAGCCGGAGAACCCCCACGCTGCACGGGGAGAACATGCAAACTCCACACAGAAAGATCCTGGGTGTCCCCCTGGGACGCGAACCAGCGACCTTGTCGCTGTGAGCCAACAGTGCTAACCACTGCATCACCCTGCAGCCCCCAGTTCACGACTCTGCCAGCATTAGTACAATCTGTTCCCCTAACGACAATATCAGTCATTAGGGTAACAGAAACACTCATAGAGCATCAGTGTTCATTCTAATGTAGGAACACATCAGCCGGTGCAGCAATCTGTCTCACTGATGTGGTTTTTTTAACAGTTTTTGGACAACACCGGAACTCTATTTGCCACAACGGAACCGGCTTTAACTGCTCTATATCATGATCATTTCATGTGCTGTTTTTTTTCTCTTTTTACACAGTTTGTTGAAAATATACAGAGCATGGAGGGCAATCACCCACTAGACCTATACTTTAAAGTCATGCACATTTCTTCTTGTTTCCCTTCCTCATTAATGTTCTATATATTTGCACTGAATTCTATAGAAAAGGATCTACTGTTGCATCAGCCAGCTTCTTTTAGTGTTGACCTCAGTGGGCTCTTTTGCAACACATCTGTGTCAACATAGTGTGTCAACACTTTCTAAAGAATTTGCAGCACACTTGTCCGTTCACTTCCGCTCTGCTCAGATTTATCTGTCTACCCAAGGTTAATGCCATGATGTTTGTGCACCACTGCAACATATCCACATTTTGCACATTATTTTCTAAAGCAGAGCTGGACAGATCGTGCTGCTGCCGCTGCTGCTGCTGCGAGTGTGCAGAGTTTTGGGTTTGTGTACGAGGAAGCAGTGTGGTTGGAGTCGGTTCAGAGGTGTCAGAGCTCAAACACTTCCTCGTTGGTCGCATCAGAGATCATCATCCTCCTGCCACCCACCTCAGCGCAATGACCTCACATGTGTCTTTTTTAACTTCATATCTGCCCTCATCTCAGTTAAAGTATTAGTGTGAAGTTTCTGTGTGATGCTGCGGAGCTCTGGTGTAATGTGAGATTTGGTGAGTATTTGCCTTTTTATTTCTGTTTGTAGATTCTAGATTTAATTTTCTTTGAAGAACTTTCACCGCTGCTTGATACTATTTAGAGACGTTTCTCATGAATTCAGAGAACAATCTCTTTGCTCAGTGATTATTTTCATGTGGCCGTGTGAATCATCCCCTTTCTTTATCATAAAAAAAAGAACATATGACTGATCTCCTTTTACCGTAAGTCACTTTTCATGTTGTTTTACAGTGAACATCAAAGTTTAGAAGCAAACTTTTATGACGAAAGCACCTCTGATCAAAAACATCTGTCTCAGTTTTATCGTTTAGCACCTGTACTGTTCTGTAGTTGACATTTTTATCGTATTACAAGCTCACTTCACCTTTGATTTGCGCACAAATAATATATTCTCAAAGCAAATTCTTAAAAATCTATGCTAGGAATCCTCGTGTTAGATGGTTATCCTTTACGAACGTATCTTGATAAGAGTTGATCGCGTGCAGTTGGTTGGATGAACCGCGTCTTGTATGTCAGCCAGCATTTCACAGGACGTGAGTGAGTAAAAACTAACAGGCAACATTGAGGCTACAATCACAGATTATATTTCTTGTTTAGATCCATTTTTTTGTTTACTCCTCCAGATTGTGCTTTCCAGTTTGATTAATATTAACATCAGTTTGAATATGTTGTCTTAATTGAACTAAACAACACCAAATGTATACTTAATACAGAAGTCTACAATTAAGAATGATGTTTTTACAGCTATATTTCCAGCCATTTTTATATATTGTGTGCTTTGTCTATAAAATAAAGTGAAATATATGCTTCCACACATAATAACATCAGTACATTTATAGTCCAGTGTGGCTGTAAAACCGCCATTAAATAACTCAATATGTCCAAAAGGTGAAGCTTTCTCTCATAATCATGAATATTAGTTTTTCACAGACAATAAATCATCGGGCCAGAGTTGCAAACGTGAAGGTAACTGGTTTCCAGAACTGAGTTTACATTCATTAGGGGAAAAAAAACATTTTAAGGATAAATAGTTGGTAGCATACAAGTAACTGTAAAGCAGTGGAAAGTACAAATATAGATATATGTGTGTGTGTACTTTATGAATATATGTACTTTAGATGTGATCATTATAATGATAACCTTATCATTTAAAATGCATTGCTTTAAATTTTTTTTATCTTTTTTGCTTGTCCAAACCTTACAAAGCTTCGTTGCCATGTTTGTTGTTGGCATTTAGTCTTAAAACTTCAAATAACTGTTTTGGGCTTACATTTGTTCTAGATTTCTCAAAGAAAACAAAGCGATTTGAAAGTCTAAAAAATGAACACATTACTATGCATCATAATTATGTAGTTCAGCTCTTCTGCTCCGTATAATCATCTCACATGCCCACAGATTTATCATGTGGCCCTTTCGGGGGGCCTCTGCCGCAGGTTGAGAACCACTGAATTTCTTGCGTTTATGGCCGTTAAAGCAGATCCACTTCAGATAGTTTCACTAAAATATAATTATATATATATATATATCAGCATTGTCAACCTTGTAATGTATTATAGTGAATAAGGCACAGGACCTGTTAACATGTGGTGTTTAATTTCACATGTTGCTGATAGTACTTGTACTCTTCACTATGCTGCAGGACTTACATCGTTGTATTTCTGCGCTGAAGTAAGTAAAAGATCCGAGTACCACTGGTCACACCCCTAAACATGTAACATAAGATAGAATACCTAAAACATTCTTATTAATATATTCATTCCGTCTTAAACCGGAGCGTCCTGTTTTTGTAAAATACTTCTGAACAAGCCACGTAAATGCCACTTTATTAGTGTTTGCTATGTGATCTAACACCCCTGTCCTGTTTGCTGACCTCCCCCACTCGCTCACATTTTGTCAAGTGTCAACACTGAGTCTTGAAATGTGTTGCTGTTAGGTGATATTTTGACAATTCTCATATGACAGTTTGTGTCACAAATGATGTTCGCTTGAACCCTAAATCCAAATGTGAGGATCGGTCACATTCAGGCTGCTTTCACCCGCCAGAGAAAACCATCTCTGCTGCCTTTTTGGTCGAATATGCTTCTCCTGACAAACTGCATTTAGAGTTTTTCAAGCAGAATTTAAAAGACCAAAGAGAGGAAATAAAGGGTATTTTGTAAGATTTGGACGTCAATGCCAGTTAACCCTCTGCTGCTGGGAAACTGATCATAATCATCACTTTTAGGGAACGTTAATCAGAGCGAAACAAAGGCGATAAAGTCATCAAGGCTGGATTCAGGATGACGTTACCGTTTAAAGAGTCTGTAGAGAGCTCAAGTAAATCTGGTGTTTTAGAACATCTTTAGGTCGCATTTAATATGTTGTGTTATATGTCTTCAGATGCAAAATATTCATTTAATGCTTTAAATGTAAACTACAACTAACAGCATGTGCAGAGTTTGTACAGATTCAAGCAGGAAGTGTTAATGAACGTACAGTTCTGCTGCCCTCTTTTGGGAAGTACAAATACCCTTCCTGTATATTACATGCTTTCGGTTGCAGTGTATAAAAAATAATACACAATAAATAAGAACTACTAAAATGACAGACAAGTTTATCTCAGCTGGTTCATTTCTTATATCATGAACTAAAACTGAGCAACATGTCAGTCTGTGAAAGTGGGATTCGTCGAGTCATGCTGAACTAAACTGCACATTCAACCTCATTTTATTTTTCGTCCTGTAGATATCTGAATCAGGTGTAGAGCAGGTCTTCCTCCCCCCCTTTGAGCGATGCCTCGTTCCTTCTTGGTGAAGCGAGGAGGGCTGCACCACCTTCGGCCTCCACCTAGAAGCCCCAGTCCTGGATCGACCACATCGATGTTCAGCCAGCTGGACGACAACACGGGGTCCTGGGGTTCCTCCCTGGAGAACACTGCAGAACAGACAACTGATGATAAGGCAGTGTCTGTTGTATTGCTGCAGCAGGACCTCACTGCTGCCAACCGCTCTCATGGAAATATGCTCTTTCAGCCTTTCAGTCCAGTATCATACGGTGGGTGTTACCACAAGCACGTCTCCAAAGACAGAATGAGACACAGAACGCTTCCTAAATGACTTGGTTTACTACATTTTACAATTTCCAGCAGGTAGCAATGATGGTTTCAAAGAACAAGAAGCAGAATAGATGAATAACGTCTCAAGTGACTCTGACGATGAAGGTTTTTATTGCATACTTTCTGTGTTCTCAGACTGTAGATCATCCGAACCCTGCGGTCCAACAGTCAACTCAGAAACTTTCATCCCAGTGGAGAAAGTCGACCCTCGCCCTCTCACACCGACAGTGTGGTCGACTCCTCGTGTGAGCTCCGGTTATCCAGACCTGAGGGCGCTGGGAGACTTCACTGAGCACGCTCAGATCCTCAGAGAGGCCAGAATCAGCGACTGCTCCGAGATCGGTGCTCTGAGGCAAGACTGTCCCCTCTGTGGCAAAGTAAGCAAAGCGCCGCTTCGGTACAGTAATTAACATTTGTCTTGTAGACAAACAGGCCAACACGTCAGGAGTTCTAATTTGTGATGTTTATTTATTCTGCTGAAGGAAAAAGTGATTTACATGATTGCCACAGTGAGCTCAGAGTGCAGCATAAAACCAACAAACTAACAGAGCATATTTAAATGCACAAAATAAAATGCTGCAGCAGACGGTGACGTTAGAGGAGAAGTGACCAAAGTTTTCATAATTTATCCCGACAGTGACCGGAGTAGGTTAATTAATTTCACCTTCTCATAGCCTCTTTGTAAGTTGTGCCAAAGACTCAAAATGTTGCTGTTCTGTTTGTTAACGTTGAACCAACAGTGGCAAGGAGTCTTCCAATAAATCTTCAATGAACTTTTAACTTATATATTTTTACATTTGAGTAAAGAAAAAAAAAAACTAAAATCAAGTTTTGTTATTTTTTAATCTCCAAGTCCCAACTTTCAACTCTCTCCACACATGCAAACATAAACAAAGACAATACAGCAATTATCCATCCATCATCTATAAACCGCTTAATCTTCACTAGAATCGCGGGGCGCTGGAGTCTATCCCAGCTCACCAGTCTATCACAGGGCTGCACTTAGAGACAGACAACCAAGCACACTCACATTCACACCTACGGACAATTTAGAATCACCAATTAACCTCAACATGTTTTTGGATCTTGTGGGAGGAAGCCGGAGAACCCGGAGAGAACCCACGCTGCACGGGGAGAACATGCAAACTCTACCCAAGTGTCCATACTGGGACGCGAACCAGCAACCTATTTGCTGCGAGGCAACGGTGCTAACCACTGCTTCACCTTGCAGCCGTACAATAATTTTATCAACTGATAATAATCATATTTTCAAATGTAATTAAACAGAACTATACCTGTGAATCAGGTTCTGTGGACAATTCCTGTTAAAATACAGTCATGCAGCTGTTTATTCACAGATATTTCTAAGAGTGTAGCTACGTTTAAAACGTCAACATTTTGAGAATTTTGCAAAAAATATCATCTCTGACGAGCCCAAAACTACAGATTTTGTAAAAAAAAAAATTATTTTCAAGAAGTAAGAAATGTAAACAGTTTCCCGACATTGTCTAGAGTTCGTTTTCCACCTTCCCCTCTCCTACAGCTATCCCCAGCATTAAACTGCATTCATCTTCCTTTGCAGATATTTTCATGTCTGTCTAGTTTGAAGAGTCACATATGTAAGAGTCACGGAAGCAGATCTCGTCTGTCAGCGGCTCACATCAAGTCCAGCAGGGTCGACAGCGAGTGGTCGCCCTGCAGAGGCAAGGTCAGTGTCACATTTGTTTTTGTCGCCTATTGAGACAAAACACACGCATGAGGTGCAGCTCTCCTGAACCTACACGTGCCTGTTGTTTTCAGGAGAAGACGTTTGACTGTGCCGAGTGTGGAAAAGTGTTCAAGCGCTCCTCCACCCTCTCCACCCATCTGCTGATTCATTCAGACACTCGGCCGTATCCCTGCCAGTACTGTGGCAAAAGGTTCCACCAGAAGTCCGACATGAAGAAACACACCTTCATACACACCGGTTGGTTTGTGTTTACTGTCTGAATCTGAAGCAATACAACCCTGTTAATCCTTAGAACTTGTGTATACTAGTCCGTCAAACGCTAATTCTAGTCCTCATGATGTTTGCTAAAAATGTTATTTCATTTACAAGCATTTATTTTGTTTTTAATCACAAAGCAGTGCAAAATGGATTTATGACCACATTTAGCAACACTGTTCACATGCAGACTGTCTGTTATACTTGGGCTTTTGTGTGGATTAAACAAAGAAGACATAAAGTGTGAATGAGTGACACATTTGCTGGTACAGTAGATTTGCAGGCCCACGCCAGCTGTTTTCACTCTTTATGCTAAGCTAAGCTAACATGTGGTGGAGCTCATGGAAGGAAATAATATTAAGGAAGAGTACAAATGAGAAAAAAGTGGCATAAAAAACCCAGATGCAAGCATTTGAGGTGGGTTTGAAAAGTAATCAGACACTGAAAAGCTCACCAAAAAATTATAAACATGACTTTCTTAATTTGCAACCTCGCTGATGAGTTTAAGAAAAGATGGATGATCAAAGTCGTTGTTGAGAGCAGGGTTGCTGGTGGACTCATAGACACATCCAGTATTTGTTTAAGGTGTTTGATTTTATCCCTACCCTTGACATCAACGCTATTAACTTCAGCACTCTTTGGGTTGAACCACTCCCATGTAGTGCCTGGTTCCAGGATAGTTTAAATTCCCAGCACAAATAACCTGCATTAAGTTCGCTCAGTCCGATTTCCTCATGGAAGACGCTATTTACTGACATGGCCACGGTGCAACTGCATCTGCGGTTTTCTCTTCTAGATGTTCATTTCCTATTGTGGATTTTATCTTCCTGTTTTTTTTCACACCATCCTCAATGAGGGAAGTGTTTGAACTACACAAGAAATTTGCATTTCCTGTGTTATATTGGTTATGTGATTCCCCTTAAGAGAGAACATGATGCAGGAACTGAGTGTGGCTCACCTGTGAACACGACTATAATTATTCTGCTGGTTTCTTTGTGTCATCACCCTGAAGAAGGCATGAGCCCACACAGGTTTACGGCCTTTCGTTTTCCAGATCAAGCTTGAATGTCTGGAATTTATGCAATTTTTTGGGGGGTGTAGTCCTCGTGCCCTCCCTCACATCTAACTGTCAGTAAGGAAGTGAATGTAGATGTTCTTCAACAAAGCAAAAATGCAAATATGTTTTGGTTTGAGCCTCTGAAACACTTCCCTCATGTCTGTATGTCATCTTTGGGTTTAAACAGTATCTATACATTTTAAAACCCTGTGTGTACTAATTACTTGTGCTTTGTGCGCATTAGGAGAAAAGCCCCATGTGTGTCAGATATGCGGGAAGGCATTCAGCCAGAGCTCCAACCTCATCACACACAGCCGCAAACACAGCGACGACCGGCCTTACCGCTGCCCTCGATGCCACTACAGCTTCCAGCACAAAGTGGACCTGCGGAAGCACCAGGAGCATCACTGCACCTGCCGCTGAACCCCGTGAACAGGAACAACACGTTTAAAACAGGAAGCTACTGACTGTGTTGTGGTTTGGACATCTTTCATCCAGAGTATGTTGTATATATTGTAGAGTTAACTGCCTTTCAGGAGACAAAAGGAGGGAAGATATTGTTCTTCATCTGCAGGTTTATGTCATGACCCTTGTAGCAAAATGTGGAATTAATGGCTGAACCTGCTGTGTACTTGTTGAATGCTCTCGTGCTAAATACAATATTATATATTTATGATTCATTGTGATTATTTGGGCTGCAAGGTGGCGCAGTGGTTAGCATTGTTGCCTCACAGCAAGTAGGTTGCTGGTTCGCGTCCCGGTGAGGGCACCTGGGATCTTTCTGCGTGGAGTTTGCATGTTCTCCCCGTTCTCTGGGGTTCTCCGGCTTCCTCCCACAAGGTCCAAAAACATGTTGAGGTTAATTGGTGATTCTAAATTGTCCGTAGGTGTGAATGTGAGTGTGCTTGGTTGTCTGTCTCTAAGTGTAGCCCTGTGATAGACTGGTTACCTGTCCAGGTGAACCTGCCTTCACCCTGAGTCAGCTGGGATAGACTCCAGCCCCCCATGACCCTAGTGAGGATTAAGCGGTGTATAGATAATGGATGGGTGTGGCTATTTTTTAATTAGCAAAATCTGAGAAGCCGAGATCATTCTGTCAAAATTATGTCAAACATTACGTCAACAAAACAAAACAAACAGCTGATGAATTCACTTTGTGTTTATTTCCCCTGTGGTTCGTACTTATTCTACAAGTCCAAGGTTGATGCACAGAACTTACTTTCACTCCACAGTGCACAGATTTAACACTGAAGAAATGGAGCTTTGCAACAGACCGGTGGTGCAACAGGATTCGATTGCACCTCTCGCTCTACCAGCCGCCTGAACAACTTGTAAAACCTGATGTGGTGCAGCATGAAGTTAACGATCAAACTCCACATGTTACCCCAACAGCAGGGCAGTTAAGTTCACAAAGCTACGGTGAATATTACCGAAAATGATCACAGCAAGTGTTCACACCTAGTCTGATAACCAGAGACGTAATTATGTTTATTTACGTCACTACAAACACGTCACAGAGGGTTTTTCTTTTATGATTTGTAGAAGATTTTTCTTGCGGGAAGCTTCATTTCACATCACCATGTTTTCAAGCCTCACATCAGCTTCAATCTCCCCTGCAGAGACCGTTAAATCTGAGAATGCAGGAGAGCCATTGTGCAAGTTTACTGATTTTGTAAAACCTCCCTGCTAATCAGGAAATTTGTCAATAAACTCAACAGAAATCTCTGTGCCTTGGCATCGCTGTTCTAGTCGCCGTCTGGAACGTGTCGACCTCCTTCTGGATTAACTTTAATCAACTGAAATGTGAATGAAAAGGGATGAGCAGATGTGGAGTATGTTGAAAAATGAACCTTTAAAGGATAGTTTCACAGTTTTTAAACTTGTGAAACTGCAACCAGCTATTAAGACACAGTAACAACAAGCAAGCAAGTTTGTTTATATAGCAGCTTATCATATACGGAGGCTATCCAAAGTGCTTTCGAGGCAAAAAGTTAAATTAAATATGTGATAAAAAAAAATTTAAGTAATTTATTCAACAACAAAAAAAAGTGGACTAAAGTGTGCACAATTTTTTTTTTAATGATTGAAACTGACTAAAAAAAACAAGGAATGAGAAAAATAAAAGCATGTAAGAGGTAAAATGTGCAATAAAATAGAGGAAAAAATAAAATTAAGTGAATGAAAGTGAAGACAAGTTTAATAAAAGTGTAGGCAGTTCAGACCAGAGTTCCGAATGATCACCTAAAAGCAGCAGAAAAACGTAAAACTGTACAAAAATCTGGGTGAAGAGCTAATCATGTTAAATTATATTTCTCTCTGGTCGTGTTTATCCGTCTCAACAGTGAAGCAAAAAACCTACAGTACATATTAAAACGGTGAAATGTCAATGTATTTAAATGAATCAATCACTTTCAAATGGTTTGCTTTAGAGCCATTTTTCCTGGGTACGCTAATTTAATCATATCCACAGAAAGCCTGCAGAAATTATGTCACAGCAAAACAGAACAACAAATGAGCAGAGGCACAGTTTGTGAGTTGCGTTATGTTTATTCAGCTTAACACATCATTTTGGTGAAAGACATGTTCGCTATGTTTAATTAAAAATTAAGTAATTGCATCAAACCAGTACAGACGAATTTAATCAAGTGCACATGGATTTATAGAATAATTCAAGCTGATTGACTAAGATGACTAAAAAGACAAGTGATGAGAAGAATACAAGCATTTAAGAGATAAAATGTGCAGTTTAATACAGGAAAAAAAAATGAATGAAGGTGCAGCAGTTTAGACCAGACTTTATAATAATACTGCAGCTATTAAAAGCCACCGTTGGTTTTGTACCACTGAGCTCTGGCAACAACGTCGTTGGAGTAGTCTTTGCCCGTTGTCCTCTCATCCACGTTCTCATAGGAGTGGACTCTTCCATCGCCTGTGTTGTAGGCTGCTATCGCCCCTGCAGAGACAAACACAAACTAGAATTAACAAACTGTTCAAGAGAGCTGATACATGTGAGAGTTTACTGATTCAGTAAAACAAACCTTTCAGCTGCTGCTCACTGTTCCAGTCGGGAAATTTGTTGCGGATCCGCTTGAGAAAATAAATCAGGATCTCGGTGCCTTGGCAGAGATGTTCCTCGCTGTTCCATCCGCCCCGAGCAGTGTGTCCACCTCCACTTGGATTGACATCAACCTACAGAGATGGAGAGGAAATGGGATGTTGTAAAGGCTCTGTGAGGCTCAACAGAGAAGGTTGTGAGTAAAGCAGTGGGATTTTCTCTCAACCTGCATCAGTCCCCAGGCGTTATATGCTCCCCTGTTTTTGTCAAAGTCGCCCCAGCCGTCATGAAGCGCATTTCCAGCCCTGGACTCTCTGGAGATGATGCCAGCAATGAGAGCTGGCTCGATGTCATATTTACTTCCCACTTCTTTGATTATTGACTTGTACTTCTCCATTCTGCCAGAATCGGTCTTTGCCATCGCGTGTGATGCTGCCACGCCTTTTAGAGAAAAATCAGACGACAGGATTTAGGCCTCAGTGGAACAAATTCCTCTGTTTTCTTGTCCCTGCTTATAAAAAATGTTTCAGATGAATACTTTAATTACAAGTCCAGTGTTCTACAGTATTTACCCCCGTGGTCCAGCTTGTCCTGCCGAGCTGTTCTCTCTGAAGCTCCGGTAGTTTCAACATCCATGATGTTTCCATTACCTGCAAATATTTCAGTTGTTAGAGACCAGAATCGGCACAGAATGTGTCAACACATGACAGTGGGTTGCACTTACATATTGAACTCATCCTTACAAACAAGAGCCACAGTAACGTGTGTGTATACGTGACAGGAGCTACAGAGATACAAATGAAGAATGATTTTTAAAGAAACAGTTCAGACTTGAGTTACAGCAGCACACCTTAGATGACCTTTAAACTATGAAGACATCTATGAAAACGTGATAAGAACCATGTTGTCTCCCTGGCAAAAAGGCTTCTAGCTCTGAAAAGTCTTTGTTTATTCTACAAACATGCTGAAAGTCTACATTTATCAGCAGCACAACAACACAAGCACCAACCCATTTTTCCCGTTTCCTCTTCTGGTGATCCCCTCAAACTTGAAAGCAGGAGCTCTTGATACGGCGTCTGTCTGCTTCAATTGTGCTGTGAAAACGCGGAACAGCTGTTTTTAAACCTGCTTGTTCACTTTTAAATTCAGTAAGACTTCCTCATATTACAGGCTGTTCTGTTTATTGTCTGCAGAGGGCGGCCAGACAGGGAAAGAGGAAAAAACAACTGATTTACAAGAAATTGGTTTTACTGGGTGTAACAGGCCCACAGCTGTGCTTATTATAATACTAGAAAAGGATTAGTACGATTAAAGGCTTAGTGCTTCTCTGCCTGTGCAGGTTAGCACTGAACTTGCACTGCACACACACCACTTGGTATCTCTGCACAGGCTACTGTTGAACTTCAAGCTGGAATCTGCTTATTATTTAGTTGGCACAGTGTAACACATGCGATATCAAATCAATAATCACTGCAGGTCATAGTGATTTGCATCAAATCAGTAAAAAAATAAATAAATAAAGTCCGATATCCTTGTTTAATTTTATTTATCTGTTCTGTCAATATTTCCAAGAAGCAGTTGAAAGAAGAATGAGACATCCAGGATTTTACCAAATACAAAGCTTAAGAGATTATATGGGTGTATAAAACACACACACACAGCCATGCAGGAAATTATTTGATTACATTATCTGGGAATTTTGGGGCTTGTTTGACAAATCTGGACAAGCAGACGTCTTATTCTCATTGAGTCAGAGTCTACAGACAGAGATAAAAGAAATGACAGATAAAATTCACATTGTTGTTTTAATGATTTATGTAAAGAAACGTAAAGAAGAAGAAAAAACATATGAGTCACATGTAAAATAAAAGCACACCTTACATTTGGCACAACTTCAAATTTATTTGTTTTTCAATTAAATTTAATTGTATTTATATAGCACAAATGCACGTCATTCCATAGCAGTGAATAAGGGCGGTGGTTAGCACCGTTGCCTCACAGCAAGAAGATCGCCGGTTCTCATCCCAGTGAGGACACCCGGGATCTTTCTGCGTGGAGTTTGCATGTTCGTGGGTTCTCTCCGGGTTCTTCCTCCCACACAGTCCAAAAACATGTTGAGGTTAATTGGTGATTCTAAATTGTCCGTCGGTGTGAATGTGAATGTGAGTGTGGTGGTGAAACTGTCATTGGAGTGAGTTGCTTCAACTTCCAGAGGCCTTAAAATTCAGTGTGTCTGTGATTTTCACAAGGTTTTTGTTGTTGTCGATAATTTTCGTGCAACCCTGATGTGCCTGGGGTTTGTCTTGTGAGCTTATACATGGGCTGTTGTAGGGGAAGAGGAGGACGCAAGGTGGTTTATCCCCAGGGACACCACAACCAAAGCCCAAACAAGTTCATACAACATACATGTTGTGTATGTGGTCACATCATTTAATTTTATTAGATGTTCAAAGGCTACTTACTCCTGTCTCCCATACATTGGCAGAAGTCATCTCTATATGGCCAGCTTCTTAATTCTGGAGTTAAAACTCCTCCACTGTTTTGTTTTTTTTTTTTTAATTTAGCCTAAAACATTTTAAACATTTAATCAGGAAATGTACCGACTATGGGCGTTGTTGCTGTGGAATACTATTTGCCTAAAGCCTGCAGATGGTGCTGTTGTCTGGGAGATAAGTGAGACTTAACATGAACACCTGTTATGAACAAAACCGTTTAAAAGATCGCCTATATAATGCAGTCTCTATGTGTGTTTCAGGGTCAATGAGAATCTTTTTAAGGAATCACTCTGATGACCTAATGAACAACTATTTAAACCTTTTCATGCTGTGACTCTATCAATATATTACTACAAAGACTTTGATTCTGTCTTTGAATCTGACACCACCATGTGCAAAACAATGAAATCAAAATATAAGCATGACAGTAGGTATCCCATTTGAAAGGCAGAGAACATTGTGTAACTATTTTAAATATATTCTTTGAGGAAAAGTCTGGGTTGTTATTCTTTATTTTTAATTCAGTTGCTCCTCATTCTGTTCTCTATCGTCTCAAGACTATCTCTCCACCTAATTACCCAGTGAGTCACGGACGAGCGAGCAAAACAGGTTCTCAAAACTTCCGGTGGGACAGCGTAACCATCCTCTCAAGCAAGAGGCTTTCAGTTTTTTGCAAACACTTCAACAACGAATGTGTATTTGTCCCATGCTTAGAAACAAGCATTAGCACGATCCTTGCTATGACAAAAGCTCCCCTTCAACAGTGGATGTCTCTTCAATTGCTCCCCCTTCCCTTCACATCTCGGCTCTCTGAGTCCTAGATCGCCTCCTTGGCTTAGGCCAAGTGTGTGGTTTTTCAACTATAGCAAGCCACTAGGGACATATTTGCGTGGGTTGTGGGGTGTCCATCGCTTGGAGGGCGACCATGATAGATGTGTGCTGTGTTTGGGTCACCAACATGCACTATTATCTGGAGAGCGCCCACTGTCTTGTACGGACTGTTTTATAATGCCTGCAAGTTCATGGGGTAAAGTGCGTAGGTTCCCCCGTTTTTCTGCACTTCACAGAGTAAAAATGGGGGGAAAAGATGGAGGCCACAAAATAAAAAAGGGGAGATTGCAGGGCCTTGGCAAGGAGCCCAGCCTAACCCCATTGTGGTGCCCACAGCAGTCCAGCCTCATATTAGCTCCTTTCCCACTCCCACTCCAGGGAGGTGACAGAGTAGGAAGAACAAGAAGAAGAGGACGTTGGAGACTGGAGCTCATTGTGTCCCTCTACCTTCGACACATGTATCGTCAGGTGCTGGAAGGTTCTGGGGGTTTGAGTAAGGAGCTTTGTACAGCCCTGCATGTCTCTCCTACATTATTAACGTGAGGTAAAGCTTTAGCGTATTTTGGGGGTTTTTAGACACCACCTTTGGATGTCCCAGCCTCAGCAGGGAGATTGGGACTGTTTACTGAAGCTGCCTGTGGACCCTTCACCTATGTTTGGCCTGGATGTAGTGAAATTGCTGCAGCAGACACAGGAAAGTTGCCACTATGCATCAGAGGTATTTGGTGGCCCTCATAGGCAGGTTAGAGGGCTTGCTTGGAGGCTTTTTAGATGGGTGATGATCGTCAAAAAGTTAGAGAAGGAAGAGCAGCTACTAAGGCTCAGGGGTCCTCAAAGCGCCCTTCTCCTGCCTGACAATCCCCAGAACCTGGCCAGCAAACTCTCTGGCTAAAGTGGCTATGGTTCCCAATACCAGCATATAGCTTATGGGTTTGTTAGCAAACGCGCTTGGTGGAGCTCACGCTGAGCGCAGACTTTCTGTCGGCTAACAGTAGGAAAAGAACAAAAAAACTCAGCTCCAGCCCGGTTGATCCAGCATCTCTTAAAAGAAGAAAGGATCATTTTGATAGTGATTCTTTACCAGCGTCCTACTTGCATGTTTGTAAGTTAACTCGCTGGGTGGGAATCCCTGCTGAGTGCAGAAATTTAGGTCCCCTAACAGTGGGTGTGAGAATATATTTTCAACTGAGCCAGCATCACTCAGTCAACACCTGAATGTCCCTGGAGCATATTGCTTGCAGTAGCCAGCTAATGTCCTCAGTGATAGTGTGTGACAAATACAGATTTAGACAGCTGACAGTTGGCGTCTGCACGTGCTCAGAGAAGTGATGCCATTGTCACATGGTTATCGTCTTGGAACAGGTGTGGCTCGGGGCAGCGGATAGACAATCAATTCTGGTCTAGACTTTGGCAACCCTGGGTGACAACATTTCTGAGCATGGTTCTGGACTTTAGGAGGGAAACTAATTTCCTGGCTCCAGAAAGGGGGCAGACCTTCTAAATGCCTCAGTCTCTTCCGGCTACATTCTTAGGCCAACTAGGGTCTCTGTCTTTGCTCATGGGCCTAATGGCAGCCATGATGCAAAGCATCTTTCTCCCCCTTTTGTACATACAGCCTGTCCAAAACTGTATGCTGAATTTAGGGTTTTGTCTATGGGTCTCTCCAGAGACCACAGTGGTGGTTTCTGGGGGGACTTCCAACCCTTCTGCTGGTTGAGAGATCCTGCCAACACGGAGCAAAGGGCAGTGCTCTAGGACCTGTGTTCTATTGCCAGGTGGACTTTACAGTTGCTTCCTCTGTAGGCCAAAGCATGATCTATAATGTCTGTGTCAACAGACTCAGGATTTATTGTTAGATGATCCAGCACGTAACATCCTGCAGTGTAGACCTCCCTAGCTCTCTCGCAGTTCCTGCCAAGATTGTAAGGTCACCACATCACTGCCAGGACAGACAGCACAATGACTGCAGCGACTATTAATAGGTTGGCTGGCAACTACACTGTGACAGAGTGTTCACTCCCTCTTCTGCTTGCTCAGAGTCACACTTGCTAACAATTCTAAACACAGCAGCAGAAGTCATGTCAAGACGAACTCCACACCCTGGGAAGTGGTGACTTTGTCCTCAAAGGGTTAAGATACTTGGTGTTGCTTTGTCAGGGCAAAGGTTCAACCTTTTTAGTTTTGAGAGCATGAGAACATTTTCAGCTTTTCTTTTCCTTCATGTAATGATGACCTACATCTGAGGTAGGACGCCCTGGCACACACTTGGCCCTGTCTACTTTGAGCCTCCTCTCTTTTTACGCTTCTCTAGCCACTTCTTCCAAGGATTCAGGCAGAATGAATGAGGCTGGCTTTGGTGACTCCTCTTTGGCCCCACTTGCCATGGGCCCAGCTATTTGATGATCAGTTGGGACACCTTGGAAGGTTCATTTTGGAAAAGACTGCTGCCTCAGGCTGACGAGGCACTATTTCAGCCCTTTCTGGCTGGGCTTAGATTGGCGACCTGGTCTCTTAGAGGAACAGGTTCCTGACTTATCCGTGGCTGGCTGGGCCTGGTCTCTGTCCACCGTCATCGTCTCCCTTGCTCAGCTTAGCAGGTCCATGGTTGATCTGAGCAGTCACTCTGTTCACGAGTTTGGCCATTTCATCTTGGCCTTTAATAGTGTTTCTCTGGTCAATCTTGCAGACTTTCTGCTTCTGGTTTTTGCATTGTGCAGTGCCTCCACCTGATTGGTATGTAAATAGGTGTATTTTTGCAAATTGTTTGTCATATATGTGGTTTGGGC